TTCAAACTAAAATTCGGAGTGTTATAGTGAGTTAGAAATGTACCGCTCAAACCCAAATAACATATGTCTATTGTGTGATTACCTTTTGTTCAATAAATATATATGTAAATCTAGTTAATGCATTTAAAAACTGAAACAGTCGTAAGGATATTAACAGCATCTGAAATGTCTGAACAAAATAAGTTATGTATTGTCCTGAGTTTGTTATTTTTCTTGTAACAAGCCTGTTCTGTGTTAACCACTTTTGATGAAGGTAAATCTAGAAAAGTCCTTCGGACGCACCAATTTATAAAATATTATTTCATTTTCTAGCACTTAGACGATACCGCTGCTGGTGAACTATTAGTCCCTTGGGGTACCGTTAGTTCAGTGATCAGTGCTTCTGTACTGGCATAATTTTTAAGATACCTTTTAAAAGTTCTCCGTTCATAAAAGAAATTATTAAATTGCTAATGGTTTCAACTCCATCAGGCAATATTGAGTTAAAATGGTTTTGGCTTTTCTTTTATGTTCCATTTGGTCATATAGTTATAATACCTCCTTGGATTTGAAATTTTTGGGTTTAACGTTGCGGGTAAAAGTAAATTCAGAAAAGTGCCTAAATGTTAAATGTGATATTTGCTTTTTTGTGCTTCTTTGATAAATATTTGTTTGTTTTTGTTGTGATTAAGACTGTGACACGATTATGACTGCTGTACCCCTATTTTGACATTTTTACCTTTTATGTCTGTTAGTTTTATTCACGCATCGTTGTCAATATAATGGAATTTGATGCGACTGTCATACAATGTGAGTGAGAGGTTTAGCGCTATAAAAACAGGTTCAATCCATCATTTTCTACATAAGAAAATGCCTGTACCAAGTCAGGAATATGATAGTTGTTGTCCATTCGTTTGATGTGTTTGTGCTTTTGATTTTGCCATTTGATTAGGGACTTTCCGTTTTGAATTTTCCTCGGAGTTCAGTATTTTTGTGATTTAACTTTTTTTGGACGCACCATATTTACAAAGCCAGTGTTATCTCCATTTATTTTTCTACTAATCTAGAACACTTCATCTACTTTTCAAACAATTTAGAGTTCATTGTTTTAAACAGGTTAATAACAGCTACAATACATTCGGAAAACAGATATTTATTGGTCGTATACAAAGTGTCAGAGTAGAAATGGATCACAAAGTCTGAAAAAAACTGACAGAAATACTGAATATGGCTTACCAAGTCATTCTACAGATCTGGTAAGATAATTAACTGTAAGAGATATCTCTCGCCTTTTTGCAATTTTGATAATGCAAATGTTGAAACTAAAATAGCAATACTTTAACATGTAAGTTATGCAAATATTCAAAGTCAATGAACCATGACTGAAGGTACATGGCTTAACAATCACCATGAACATGAGATGTGCCAATAAAACTGCATACCACATACCATTGACTTATCATAAGTATTTCCCTTTAAACAAACATAAACACAAACATTAACTTGTAAACTATGTTAAAGTTTCAAAGTCAATGAACCATGATGAGGGGTGGTGCTATATAATCTTCATGGAAACAAGACTTGCAAATGCCAATAAATTTGCATACCAAATATCATTGACTTAACATAAGCAGTTCACCTAAAACTGATATAATCTAATACATGTAAACTAGGCAAAAGTTTCAAAATCAATAGACCATGACTGAGGGGGCGGGTCCAAATATTCTCCAAGGAAATGAGATGTGCTAATGCTTATACAACTGCATACCAATCAACATTGGCCTACCACTAATGGTTACCCTTGAAGTGACCTAATCACAAACTAATACATGTAAACTAAGCAAAAGTTTCAAAGTCAATAGACCATGACTGAGGGGGCGGAGCCAAATAATCTCCATTGAAATGAGATATGTCAATGCTTATACAACTGCATACCAAGTATCCTTGACCTACCACTAGTGGTTCCCCTTGAACTGACCTAATCACAAACTAATAAATGTAAACTAAGCAAAAGTTTCAAAGTCGATAGACCATGACTGAGAGGGCGGGGCCAAATATTCTCCATGGAAATGAGATGTCCTAATGCTTATACAACTGCATACCAATTAACATTGGCCTACCACTAATGGTTCCCCTTGAACTGACCTAATCACAAACTTATACATGTAAACTAAGCAAAAGTTTGAAGGTCAATAGACCATGACTGAGTGGGCGGAGCCAAATAATCTCCATGGAAATGAGATATGCTAATGCTTATACTACTGCATGCCAAGTATCCTTGACCTACCACTACTGGTTCCACTTGAACTGAACTTATCACAAACTAATACATGTAAACTAAGCAAAAGTTTCAAAGTCAAAAGACCATGACTGAGGGGTCAGGGCCAAATAATCTCCATGGAAATGAGATGTGCCAATGGTAATACAACTGCATACCAAATATCATTGACATACCACTAGTGGTTCACCATAAACTAGACCTAATCACAAACTAATACATTGTTGAAGCCCCCGCCGCCGGAAACAGCATACCTTTGTCTTGCTTTTTGACTCTGTCAAGGCAAGACAAAAATGTAACTTTAGGTTGAAAATCTATTTACTAATTATGTTACGTTAAGTTCTGCACAGAACATTCGTTCATTATTCTTGAATGCCATAATTTAAGTCTATGAATCTGGTGAACCAAAATCCTGTAAATGTTGTTGGAGAGCAGGGTAAATTTCCTAGATGACTAGAAATTTTGTTAGAAAGGCTTATTTTTTTTAACAAATATTAACAAATGAACTTGTTGGAATTTCTTTTTTTTTGTTTGTAAAAAGTATGGGCACACCAAAATAACAACTTCATACTTGGTTTAAAATACATAAATCTCTTTGAAAGCTTCTCAAGAATAAGAGTTTTGTTGTTTATTATTTTGTCAGGTCATTACCATTAAAGTTTCTATCTTTTTCAACTATTTCAAGTTAAATAACAAAAAAATGAAATTTTCTAAAAAAAATACAATTTTTATAAACTAGATTCCCTAAGGAACATTTAGATTAATTTTGATTACATTTGGCCTAGTAGTTTCAGAGGAGAAGATTGACAACTTTAGGATGATGGATGACAACAGACATCAAGTATAGCAATATTTCAGACCAGGTGAATTAAAAAGCTAAAAAAATACATGTTTTTTTAGTTTTCTTAACTGTTATTTGAATATCAGAATCAAATCAAAATTTGAAAATGCTTTATATATGTGTTGTCCTTCAAATATCTACATAACTTTACGGGAGACAGACTAAAAGCTAAAAAATGTATGCATCAGAGTTGTTTAAAAAATGGCAAAACCCTCTGAATGCTAATAAAGAGAGGAATGGTAGGGATAGGAGTAATTTCCAAAGGCAAAGTTTTATTATTTCAAAAATTAGAATTATTTCTTGGATAAACATTAACCTCTTATGTTCTATTGCATATAATAATATTTAATTGCCAATCTGAAGTACACGGTTTTCCCTCCGAGAAACCTCAGGAAATGTTATGCTCACAAATTTATGCCCCTCAACTCTATCTCTCTCCATATATATATATATATATATATATATATATATATATATAGATTGCCTAACAATGTAATTTTAACACACTATTTAGTATGTAAATATAAGAATGTTTAAAATATTTACAAAATGATGAAAATAAACGCAATATTTCGCTAGACTAACTAGCTTTATCAAGCGTGCATCTATCCAGGTGAAATCGGATGTAGATGATAAGAAACTTTTGCAGCTCAATGTATATGTTGCACTTGAATTTAGCTGCCTTGAAAATAATACATAATTTGGATGAAGTTCAAGATTTTTACAAAATTGGTAGTTGAAGTTAGCAACGTCCATTGGCCAATATTACAGGATAAAAAGGACGATGCTGTGTACTAAATTATTCCTTGTCTTTCCTGTATCTTTTCTCATCTTTTTCGTTAAGACCATCAGGTTCTAAAGTGTGGAGTTGGTGGATCCAAAAATTTTCTCTTCTCCTTCTCGCCGTGGTGTCCCACTCGGTGTTGACTTCTATGATTTGGAAAGTAACATTATCAAAAGAATGTTTCGTTGAACGAAGATGTCTTGTGAGAGGACAGTTTTTGTTGGTTTTGTACCATGAACGATCGTTTACATCCTTGTGTCACGGAACTGTCACTCCCGTATTTGTAATTATTACTAACGTGTGTATTTAATTATATGTAAAAAAAAAATTACAACTAGGTTGTCTTGTGAGAGGACAGTTTTTGTTGGTTTTGTACCATGAACGATCGTTCATGGTACAAAACCAACAAAAACTGTCCTCTCACAAGACATCTTCGTTCAACGAAACATTCTTTTGATAATGTTACTTTCCAAATCATAGAAGTCAACACCGAGTGGGACACCACGGCGAGAAGGAGAAGAGAAAATTTTTGGATCCACCAACTCCACACTTTAGAACCTGATGGTCTTAACGAAAAAGATGAGAAAAGATACAGGAAAGACAAGGAATAATTTAGTACACAGCATCGTCCTTTTTATCCTGTAATATTGGCCAATGGACGTTGCTAACTTCAACTACCAATTTTGTAAAAATCTTGAACTTCATCCAAATTATGTATTATTTTCAAGGCAGCTAAATTCAAGTGCAACATATACATTGAGCTGCAAAAGTTTCTTATCATCTACATCCGATTTCACCTGGATAGATGCACGCTTGATAAAGCTAGTTAGTCTAGCGAAATATTGCGTTTATTTTCATCATTTTGTAAATATTTTAAACATTCTTATATTTACATACTTAATAGTGTGTTAAAATTACATTGTTAGGCAATCTATAATTTTATTTGTGTAATTGAATTAATCTCTGTACTGATTAATCCACACTCCCATAGATTTGTATGTCATGTGCTGCTATTTATAGGCACTTATATATATATATATATATATATATATATATATATATATAGTGTGTGTGTGTGTGTGTGTGTGTGTGTAATACATTAAAGACAAAAAAATCTATTAAATGATAAAGATAAAGTATATTATCTTTTTTTTATTTCTCAAAGTGCATAAACTTCATATTCTAAGCTTAACAATCATTACTGTTAAATTGTTATAAAATATATGGACGGAGGTGATTCAATTCAGCAGTTATTGTACTAGTATACATCCTTTGAAAATATATATCTATCTTGTTTTTGTTTCACACTTCTAATATGTCATAAAAGAGGTACTTAACATATTTTATAGTCAAAAGTTCATACATATTAAATGCAAGAAACATATAATTCTAAATGCATTTTTTAAACATTCAAAGAAACCAATGAAATACTAAAATTCTGACTAAATATTTAATTATCGAAAAAAGGAATCTATATACCACAAAATATTTAAATGTGTACATCATTATAGTGAAACCTCTGATAATATTATAAATAATAATGAAAAAAAGGCACATAATAAGAAGCAGTTTTTTTATAGATAGGAAAAGTATGCAAATTGATTATAATATAACATTTATTATGTATTAAAATTAAACATTAGTTTAATAATGCTAAACTTTTTAAACACAATTTATAAATGAAGTAAAATTATGAACTGTTTTAAAAAACAGACAATGTCATGTAAAAATAAATTTTCAATAAAATATCACAGATTTATAAACAACTATAAACTAAAACATTTCTATTCTGGAATAAACATGTGTAACAAACCACAAGGCACAGAATAATTAACAGCAGTTTTAATAAATCATAAAGACATTTCTCTTGTATATTACAAATAAACAACAACAAAAAAGACATGCTTTTCTTTTATGTACTACTTTTCAAGATAATTGATAATTTTTCTAAAGATTCATGAAAAAAATACCAAGGGGGCAATCTAAAACCCTGTTGGAGATAATTTGCATGGAAGATCTTTTCATTAAAAATATCTAAAAACAAATTTGTTCTGTTGAATATAAAGTATTTCATGTATAACATAATCGAGCTCATGTCCACCCAGTTTTTTCCAGAGAATTTTGACTTACCATCTAAATAAACCATCCTATATGGTCCTTATCAAGTAAAATCACAGTATTGCGCGGTTCATTTAGTATCTATGTAAATCTAACATTGGAAAACTCATTCATTGATACCATCCCCTTGATGGAAACCATTGATTACCTCTTGAAGTGTAAATCAGCCCCTAAATAACATGCTTATTGATATTGTAATAGATGTCACACAATGGATGTACATATTCAAGTGAAATAAATAAGGAGTCTAACCTAAATTGTTGTTCACTATAATAAAAAACAAATGTATATCAAAATCTAAATTTGTAGTGAACAAAATGTTTTGGCACATAAATGAAAATAGAAAAACACAACAGCATAAACAAACATTACAATCCTATTTCTATATTCTCTAAATAAGATATTTTAGATCACAACCAATTCCTAAATTAACTTTCAATATTCATAAGACAGAAAACTAAAACTTCATACATTTTACTTCTAATTTGATTATCATGGTGTTTTGTTACTGAAGAAAAGTTGTACCTGAAATTTATTCTACAAACATAAACACAGGGAAATGAGCAGAATATTAATATTTTATCAAATTGCATTTGTGATAGCAAGCATCAAACTAAAAATTGATCTGTACTGTTAAAATTATTGACCATTCAAGCATTGCACATTTTCTAAATTGTATAATTAAATTTCTATTAAAAATCTCTATACTGTGTACAAGAATGTTTTTTGTTGAAAAATTTAAAATAAATTAAATAAAATGCAAATCATACATAACTATAATTATCTACATAAACCCATGGTGGGTAATTAGGTCGTCTTCTTTGACCTTTTTCTGATCTAATTTTGCGTGGATCAACCCCAAGTATTGTAACTTCTCGTTTCCCTCTGGCACTGGTACTTAATCCTTTATTGGGAACCTGAAAATATCACATAAGAATTTTGTTAGAAAAAAAATAAAATATCACGAAATATGTTTATTATATTGTCTGATAATTTTTCCTATAAAACATGTCACACTATTTTAAAATTAATATAAACTTCCATTTGTTAATCTTTTTTATCTAAATATATGCACAAGAATACTTGTTTTAATGTCAAAATAATTAAAATGAAATTGTATAAATTTAAGGCTAATAAGAAAATATGAATCATGTTATGCTATTGAAGAAAAAATAGATTATGTAATAATTTTAAAGTTCCCTTCAACTTTATATTATCATACATCTCATTAAGAGACAAAAGAGAACACTACTAAATACAGATCTGTAAGCTAAACTTTAAAAAATCTGGGAAATGATGTTGCGTGCATTGAAGACTTAGATGGCAATTACAGTTATACAGTAATTGGGTTCCAATGAGAACAAGAGTGCACACGCTGAAATGTCTCGCCTTCTTTACTAACCACTGATTTTATGTTGATAGTCCTAAATATAAAGCTTTACTACAAGTAACACATAAACTTAACATGATCCAAGAGGTCAAGGTCAGATAAAACAAACGAGAAATACATGTACACCTTACAATCATTCAACAAACGAAACATAGTTGACTGCTTATAGTTTCTAAGAAACAGTCTTAACCAAGAAAACTTAACATTGACCAATGAACCATGAAAATGAGGTCAAGGTCAGATGAACCATGCCAGACAGACATGTACACCTAACAATCAATGTATGCATTAAATATAGCTGACCTATTGCTTATAGTATCTAAGAAACAAACTTAACCATGAAAACTTAACATTGACCAATGAACCATGAAAATGAGGTCAAGGTCAGATGATACCTGTCAGACAGACATATACACCTTACAATCCTTCCAGACAACAAATATTGTTGATTTATTGCTTATAGTTGAAGAAAAACAGACCAAAACACAAAAACTTAACACTGAGAAATGAACCGTGAAAATGAGATCAAGGTCAAATAAAACCTGTGAGACTGACATGTCGATCATAAAATATTTCCATACACCAAATATGTTGACCTATTGCATATAGTATTAGAAAAAAAGACCAAAACTCAAAAACTTAACTTTGACCACTGAATCATGAAAATGAGGTCAAGGTCAGATGACACCTACCAGTTGGACATGTACACCTTACAATCATTCCATATACCAAATATAGAAGACCTACTGCTTATAGTATCTGATATATGTACTTGACCACGAAAACTTAACCTTGTTCACTGATCCGTGAAATGAGGTCGAGGTCAAATGGTCTGATGGGCATGAGGACCTTGCAAGGTACACACATACTAAATATAATTATCCTACTACTCATAATAAGAAAGAAATTAACATTACAAAAAATGTTGACTTTTTTTTTCAAGTAGTCACTGAACCATGAAAATGAGGTCAAGGACAATGGACATATGACAGACGGAAGTTAGGTAACGCCGCCACCGGGTCACTATCCCTATGTCAAGCTTTCTGTGACAAAAGTCGCAGGCTCGACAAAAATCATATTAAATAAGGGAATCATATTCTAAAATTTTCATTAAAAGTTGCACAATGGATAAAACATATAAAAAGGAAACGTTGATTAATCTTTGTTACTTTGTATGATCATCTAGGTGTCTATAGAATCAAAGGTGAGTCTTAAACCCTTAAATGGCATCATCTGTATATATCAAACAATAGGTATTGAAATTCTGTACTATTCAAGAAAAAAAGATATTTAAAAAAAACACAAGTAGCAAAAGATAAATATTAAAAACACTGTTAAAGTATGTGAATAACAAACACACTTTCCACTCTGCAAATAATTGTGAAGAGGAAATAATCTTGATTATATAGGGTAGGTCAAGTGTTTGAGATGGAAGCGTGTGGTATGTAACAAACAAAATATCACCTACAATTAAGCTGTTATATTTTTTGTTTTGTTATCGTTGATCTGAAATACAGTTTATCAATTACATATAATCCATTGTAATAAAAAAAATCAAAGTGCTTGTGAGCAATGAGGGGTAAAGATTGCTTTCATTTTACATTGTGAACTTAAATTTTAACATTGCAATGTTATTATTTAGGCAATATTTTCATTGAGTTATCTTCCTTTGTCCATAGTTGTAGGTAGAACAGATAGATTCATACGCCATGCACTACTTTCTGCAACTCAAATAAACCTTAAATAAAATGGTTTTCTTGACAAGTATGGTAAAACATATACTCATCATAATGTAACTAGAATATCTATAAGTATATAAACTGCTTTACATGGACATGAATAATATATACCCAATAAGGATTAACCAATGGCATAATCTGATAAATTACTGTTTACATATAATGGCTAGTTTTTGGAAACCTCCTGAAGGTATAACTTTCAACTGATTGTCATAATCTTGACTTGGTAAATGCACATATGAATGAATGTTGTCAGTGTAACCAGATTTAACATTGTATCAAACCTTTCACTTGTGTGAAAGTCAATTCAGTTCCTATTTTCTTTGCATCTCAAGTCAATGTACCCATTTATAAGTGGCTGTGTAGTAATGAATTCTACATATCAAACAAACATGGCTATATAATATGTTTTTAATATTTGGAGTCAAACCTTTTAAACTGGATCTTAATGTCAGAAAAGTAACATTTTTTTAATGATAAGAAAAAGAACTTCTCTTCCTCATACTTATTAAAGACATTATAAGAAAAGAACTTAACAGTTTAATAAATACATGTTAAAGTAACTGGTTCATATAATAAGGATAATATATATATCTACTTGGAATGGGATAAGTTTGTGACATAAAGGCTGTTGCATAAATATTTTGAATCCAGGTTTCATTACCATCTTACCAATCTATTAAAGAGATGAATACAGAACTTCAAACAACCAATGAAAGGTAATTACACATTTTTTCTATTTTTAAATTAAAAAAAAAAATATTTATTGACCTTTAGCACATAGAAATTGACTCAAAGTTGAAGTATGAACACAGGGGGCCAATATGAATGAAAAGACATTATGGGATCTTATGGTAGAATATTTACAACAAACCAACAAGAAATGATTGTAACAGGATGCTGTTACGAAGTCTCCCAAACGAAGCTCCCATAATTCGTAATTCCCATGGTCACCTGACATTGGGCAAAGTCCAGTGAAAATTGGTTTGGTCCAGTAAAGTTATATGCATTAGTGATGCCTGGGGACTAACCCTATATATCATTCAAATCATCTTGGCATGACAAACCAGAATATATATGGTTTAGGGGTGGGGATCTCGACCATTTACAAGATATTAGAACTTTCTCAAATGGCAGGGGGTCGGATGACCCCTGGGGACTAACCCTGTATATCATTCAAACCATAATAGCATGACAAACCAGAATATATATGGTTTAGGGGTGGGGATCTTGACCACTTACAAGATATTAGAACTTTCTTAAATGGCATGGGGTGGGGGTGACCCCTGGGGACTAACCCTGTATTTCATTTCATGTGCTTTATCATGACAAACCAGAATATATATGGTTTAGGGGTGGGGATCTCGACCATTTACAAGATATTAGAACTTTCTCAAATGGCAGGGGGTCGGGATGACCCCTGGGGACTAACCCTGTATATCATTCAAACCATCTTAGCATGACAAACCAGAATATATATGGTTTAGGGGTGGGGATCATGACCACTTACAAGATATTAGAACTTTCTTAAATGGCATTGTGTGGGGGTGACCCCTGGGGACTAACCCTGTATTTCATTTCATGTGCTTTATCATGACAAACCAGAATATATATGGTTTAGGGGTGGGGATCTCGACCATTTACAAGATATTAGAACTTTCTCAAATGGCAGGGGGTCAGGATGACCCCTGGGGACTAACCCTGTATATCATTCAAACCATCTTAGCATGACAAACCAGAATATATATGGTTTAGGGGTGGGGATCTTGACCATTTACAAGATCTTAGAACTTTCTTAAATGGCATGGGGTGGGGGTGACCCCTGGGGACTAACCCTGTATTTCATTTCATGTGCTTTATCATGACAAACCAGAATATATATGGTTTAGGGGTGGGGATCTCGACCATTTACAAGATATTAGAACTTTCTCAAATGGCAGGGGGTCGGGATGACCCCTGGGGACTAATCCTGTATATCATTCAAACCATCTTAGCATGACAAACCAGAATATATATGGTTTAGGGGTGGGGATCTTGACCACTTACAAGGTATTAGAACTTTCTTAAATGGCAGGGGGTGGGGATGACCCCTGGGGACTAACCCTGTATTTCATTTAATGTGTTTTATCATTTAGAACATTTTCAATTAAAAAGATTGTGTCTATCACAAACGGTTTTCAATTTATAATCATTTGAAAATTTTAAAAAATAAAATCCCATAGGGTTCTATAGTAAAACCCTCTTTTCTTTTTGCCCCTCAAAGTACCCCTTTATAAACCCCATTGCACAAACAAAACCCTGATTGCACCACTAGACATGTTAGTCTAACATATTGTGAAACCCTTAGTTAATCTGACAAGCGGTTTTGGAGAACGGGTGCGGACAAGTTCAAATTTAAAAGCGGCGGAAGAGGAAGAGGAAGAGGAAGAGGAAGAAGAATAATAATAATAATAAGAACTGAGCAAAAACAATAAGTCTTCCCAAACTTCGTTTGGGAGACTTAATAAAGTAAGTAAACCAAAATGGAAATCAAGTACAACTCATCTGATTAAATAACTTGGCATTGAATAATATATTCTTAAAAAGCCTCATTACATTTTACATTTACTCAAAAATATGACATTCGAGTGCTTATTTTGAGAGGGGAGGTAGTTCAACCTTCTATCATTGGGTATTGAATTTTCTTTAAAATATTAGACAATAATAGGAGAAACCTTTGTTAGAATTTCATCAATGATAAACAGGGTAACACATACTTTTGAAGTATTTATTTGGAAATGAACTATATGGTACTTATTCTTATATCAGTTCACTGCATATTAAGTAGCAATATCATCAACAAGACTGGAAAAGATAGCCCCTTTCCATCCTTAATAGTTGTCATAGGTAATAATCAATCTTGTTTTTGCATTTCAACAAATTAGACAGAAAACATATTCTATATTATGTGGTAAGCAGTAAAAATATATGAAACCTGAAGGCAAAAGAATGAAAGAAAGCTTTGAACAGTGGAAGGGTACAGATGGTAAAAATGAAAATAAAAAAAAACATTTACTCTTTGTTTCTGTAATTTTAAAATAAAACATTATTAAAACCTTGAAATCATGTCTGTATTTAAAATAATACCCCTTAGTTTAAAGTTATAAAATAATACAGTTTTAAAGTATAAATATTTTTAATGAATTAAGCTAACTGAAGGATATATAAACCTAACAACAAAGACAACAAAACACTTCCAGATGTTACTCCATGTTATAAGCTTAAGTCATGGTAAAACATCTAATATATACATAATACACAAATTTCATGTTTGACATTGTTTGGTAAACATCAATGAAACAGGTACAACCAATACACAAAACACACAGTCAATCTACCTAAACATTACAAAATATGCATTCCTTTTTTGTATATTTCATTCAGATTTATTTCTGTATAAAAGTTAATATTTCATTACAGGATAGTCATTGGAATGGCAAGATTTCATATGTTTAACATCAATATTCATAAAATCATCATGTGTGAATGAAAGTAAACGAGAGAACAACTAAAAAATACAGCATGACAAAAACAAACCATTTAGAGGTAAAAAAACTGTCTTCTCTAGACTGTAGTCTATTTGGGTTTATACAGGTAAGTTTACTTTTTTTAAAACCCGAAACCATTCACCAACATGCCATATGGTCACTTCTTCCAGAATTGGGATGTCAAAGTTAGATTTCTCTCTTCAGCTGTCTGACCACCACCTAACACAGAATCAAGATGTGAGCTGAAGAAATACCTATACAGTTTCTACCCATCATCTAACACAGAATCAAGATGTGAGCTGAAGAAACATCTATACAGTTTCTACCCATCACCTAACACAGATTTTAGATGTGAGCTGGAGAAACATCTATACAGTTTCTACCCATCACCTAACACAGAATCAAGATGTGAGCTGAAGAAATACCTATACAGTTTCTACCCATCATTTAACACAGAATCAAGATGTGAGCTGAAGAAATACCTATACAGTTTCTACCCATCACCTAACACAGAATCAAGATGTGAGCTGAAGAAATACCTATACAGTTTCTACCCATCACCTAACACAGAATCAAGATGTGAGCTGAAGAAATACCTATACAGTTTCTACCCATCATCTAACACAGAATCAAGATGTGAGCTGAAGAAATACCTATACAGTTTCTACCCATCACCTAACACAGAATCAAGATGTGAGCTGAAGAAATACCTATACAGTTTCTACCCATCACCTAACACAGAATCAAGATGTGAGCTGAAGAAATACCTATACAGTTTCTACCCATCACCTAACACAGAATCAAGATGTGAGCTGAAGAAATACCTATACAGTTTCTACCCATCATCTAACACAGAATCAAGATGTGAGCTGAAGAAACATCTATACATTTTCGACCCATCACCTAAAACAGAATCAAGATGTGAGCTGGAGAAACATCTATACAGTTTCTACCCATCATCTAACACAGAATCAAGATGTGAGCTGAAGAAACATCTATACATTTTCGACCCATCACCTAACACAGAATCAAGATGTGAGCTGAAGAAATATCTATACAGTTTCGACCCATCACCTAACACAGAATCAAGATGTGAGCTGAAGAAACATCTATACATTTTCGACCCATCACCTAACACAGAATCAAGATGTGAGCTGAAGAAACATCTAAAACAGTTTCTACCCATCACCTAACACAGAATCAAGATGTGAGCTGAAGAAACATCTATACATTTTCGACCCATCACCTAACACAGATAAAGATGTGAGCTGAAGAAATATCTATACAGTTTCAACCCATCACCACACAGAATCAAACTATGACTGTCTAACACTGTGTACCCTAAACACAGAATCAACGGTCTAACTATTCCCAATAAAACATTTACACACACAGAAACTAACGCTGATCCTCTACACAGAATCAACAGTCTAACTATCCCACAATAAAACATTTACACAGAAACTTACGCTGATCCTCAATGCCTTTTTGTCCTTATTGATGTCATTAACAGTGAGTTTTCCTTTACCAAGGTCTGTGTTAGGAGTCGGACTGTCTGATTTTCCCTTTCTGCCATTCTTTGGGCTAGGACTTCTGGATCTCCCTATAATACATAATATAGTAGTTTAATTTCTATAGCTTTAAAACACCACAACATAGTGGAAATAGTTTGTACACTGATCTCCATCACAATTATACTCTTAAAATAAAGTCCATCACTGTTACACCTCAGTGACAAAGACCTGACTTGAAATGCTGACAAAGAAGGAATTGATTTAAAATACAAGTAATTTAGACATAGAGCTATGAGGCACTATTTTTAATAAAAGCTGTTTATTCTTTAACCTCTACCCTGTGTGTCAAAACAAATTAATTCATTTATAAACTGATAAAAAATGATTAAAAAATTGATGAATATATAAAAAAAATCTGAATTATGATATAAATATGCATCAAAAAGAAATAAAATGAGAAAAAATATTAATTTAATTCTGTTTGAATCCAACTTTTTTAAAAATTGTAAAGTATTTTAAAGAAAGTAGGAAATGGAAAAATTGAAATTTATCATTGTTAAGCTGAATACTGCACCTGTAAATTGATTTAGTGAAACAAAAATGTATCATTTCCTGAAATATTGCAAAGACGCAAAAAAAAATTTGGTTCACAAAAGAGCTTGGATAACAAATACCTATTTCATTTTCATAGGTACTTTATAGGTCAAAATAAACAAAACTATGTTAAACAATAAACAAAAATTAACTACAAGAGTTCTTTCACTGAAATATCATGCCTGCTTAGATAATTATGTTTAAGAGTCTAAATACAAGCATCACTCAAACACTGTGAGTTAATGAACCATGAAAATAAGGTCACAAACAGGTAAACCCTGTAAGACAGTCATAAACACATAAGAGTGTTTCTTCTACTAAAAAAAAACAGAACCGAATTGAATTTCTATTTTAAAGTAACATAGAAACTGCCTTATCTGTAATACTGTTTTCACCACTGGGCAAAAATATGAGTGTCATATGCAAAGCAGGATATGTACCTGATTTCAGTGTATACCATTCAGGTAGCAAGTTAATATTTCCTAAAAGATAATATAAAATCCTGCTGGTATTCCCTAGTTTGTCCCATCTTCTTGATTTTTATTTTTTTTGTCATCCTCTAAATTACATTTCGTACTTCTTTATTACCATAGTTTGTTGACCATTTTCTGTTTTATCAATTAAAAATACAAAAAAGATATTTTGAAATAGTTCACAGACAACTTTTACGTCATGACAACCTCTGTTATATATCAATTTTAAAGCTTCAACAATTTGGAGATTCTATCAATTTAAAACACCTTTCAGAAAAACAGTAACGTTTGGAAAAAAAGAATGAGATTATTTATGCGACAATCACATGAATTATTTGAGTTTTATTATTGCTTTTTAGTCTCTAAGCATGAATAAAGAATGGAAATGAAAGTTATATAGCCAAATTTATAGACAGAAAATAATATAAAGTACATTAAACAGGGTTGCTATTCTGCATATAAAACAGTACATATTTAATTAATTTCAAATTTCATATTTCCTTAGTTGACATATATATAGCTTCCTGAATAGCATATGAACTGAGACAGGTTAAAAAAAAAGCCCAAAACTTCTGCTAGATTGTTAAATGTTGCATATTTCTAACAATTCATTTGTAAGGTATGTCAATGACATACACTGGAAACAAGAAATTGTTTTGTAAAGATTGGTTGATCAATAATTATACCCTTATAAACAGAAAATTATCTCAACATCTACATTCATAACAAAACATTTGGACAACTGTTTGATTCAATAATGAAAGACAAATAGAATGAGAGTCATAGGTAACATGATATGCCCCTGGCCAATAATTGAACTGTTACCCTAAACTCTTCAATTTTAAGTGTTTCCTTATCATAAAACATGCATTAGAAAGGATCTAAATGAAAAAGTAGAATTATAAGATAATATTCTGAGAAAAATAGTACATACAAAAAAGAAATGTCTGCAATGCCTGAAAAAAAGTATTAAATTTAAATGAAGTGTCTCTGATATTCTGAATAAAATAGTTAATTTATGAGAGGTGTCTTGTGCTCTGAATAAAGTAGTAAATTAAAGAAAGATGTCTCCAGTGTTCTGAGTAAAGTAGTCAATTAACAAAAGGTGTCTCCTGTGCTTGGAAAAAAGAGAGGTGTTTCCAGAACTCTGATTTAGTCTACAGTGTTCAGAATAAAACAAAAGTGTGTTTATTGAAGTTTTATTTGATAAAAAGATTGAAGCTGAAAAGAAAAATGCACATTAAAATAAAAAGTACAAAAGATATACAGGTATATGATAGCCTTTTCATTACCTGTATTCAGAATTCAAACTTTAAAAAGTTCCTTAGAAAATATGCCATTATATATAACACTAAAATATAAGGAAGATATTTTCTATCCAATTTTTTAAATATTTGTAAATACCCATCGTAAAGTAGGATTGTAATTTAATGTATTGTAAATTGAATATAGAGAAATGGGAGGAACATTTGTTCATACGTAATATTTTGTTGGGAACTTTCAAAAACCCAATTTTGATTAAAAAAACAAAAAAATCCGAATTATTCTGTAATATTTCAAGCATTTTTAAAAAAAAATTTTGCAGTTCTATTTTGAGTTTCAGAATAAAATAGTTGGCGTCATCCTTCATTACTAACACTTACATAAACCATGGCACTATTTTTTTTATGTTTCTCACTCATTGTTCCATATTAAAAAAAGATCCACGATCCCGAGGTTATTAATAATAAAACCCCCTTTTATTAACTTATTTAGGTTTATTTTAGCTAATCATATTTGATCATATATGCAACTTTGGTTCCAATCAAACGTAAGCTAGAAACTGTTTTTCCTGCACATATTTTTTATATGCTTTTAGTAACTATGACCTTGACTTTATACATTGTGGCCTCAAAATCAATAAATATGTTCCTCTGATAATATGAGACCTAATCAAAGTAAAGCTGCAATCCAATATCAAGTATTTGATTTAAGATTAGGAAACCACTTTTCTGCTCAAATTTCGTTCCAATTTTAATAACTATGACCTTGACTTCTAAATCAAAAGGGAATTTCCTCCTATTATATGTTCCTTGTATCCAAGTAAGGTGGCAATCCAATATAAAGTATTTGATTTAGCATCCAAAAACCATATTGACTGATGGAATGACTGTCTGAAGGGTAAAAAATATATACCTATGCTTCTTTGTAGCATAGGATTTGAAAATAATTAACTTTTTCTGAAAATTATAAATATTTGGCCAGAAAAATTTAGACGAAAAGGCCAAAAAAAAAGAGTAGAATTCTGACAAATTCCTGACAAGAAATTTTACCCATAGTTAATCTCCTTTTTAAAATTTCTACATCTGTTAATATATGCTAATACTGTATAATGGACCAAATACTTGTTCATCGTTTAGATAGGACAGCCAAATACATTCTGCACTTATCTTAACAGAAGAAATAGAGAAACTGAGAGAGCTGTGAAACAAGAGATGTTAAAACAATACTCACTCTTGCCTAGTATATAAAAAACAACAATGTTAAAATCATTAAACCACAAACAGACACTGATTGTTTTAATATTAAATCTCACAATTAAAATGTGATAGCTTTCATACTTATTTTTTTTATATATTAGTCATCAACAAATGTGTTCATTTCAAAACGTGCAACTCTAAGAATTGTTAGATATTCCACATATGCAATGATAATAATAATTATCTTTAACGTCTAATGTTTTTTTATATTAAATGTTTGAAACATAAAGAAAAACATCACATGGACTATATGATATTTAATTTGAAGTTACAATATCATTTGAATCCCTAATCATGAATAATAGTTATGTTGATACATTGATTATTTATTTGTGTTTTATTGTCAGATAAATACTGGATAAACAGAACATGTATAGCTCACCTTGAGTACATATATATTATTGACTATGTTCTAATAAATTTAAAAAAAAAGTCACTCTTCTTGGCAATTTGAAGCACTCCTAAAAGCCAGAAAAAATACATTTTCAAATGTAATTCAGAAAAAAGTCTGGTCACAGGTTAATAAACTTTTACCTGAGAATGTACTGATTTCACACTATCAAATTTCATACCCAAGTAAACTTTTGTTTCAATGCAGTTTTTGTCATAAGCAATAACTCTTTGTTATGATCTTATTTCTTGGTCTCAGAAAAGTATTGAAATAGTTTAAGATGGACAAAGGATGCCAAGGGAATAGATAAACTCTTGCTGGTTCATCTACCATAAAAAAAAAAAAAAAAGTTGTGTTGTTTTGAAAACATACAATATAAACTTTAATTTCAACAAAATTCATAAAAATTAATACATTAAAACAAAAACCATTTTTATCAGAGAGTTATTTTTAAACGAAAGCATTTCTGCATGCTTAAATCATATATAAACAAGTGCAATGCATCTGTTCATTTAATTTGTCTCCTAATTTGAATATCTAAATATAGATATCAAATATTAAGTTGATTCATGCATAACTTGTTTTTTTCCATTAAGAAAAATGCATTAAGACACCACACAAGACTTAAAGAAAAAGTTCTCAATTCTCATGCAAATTACCTTTACAATGTACACTTTTTCAAAGCTTTCTAAAAATATGGTTGAATTTTAATTTCATGGCAAAACAGAAAAAAATATATGAAAATATGATTTTATTGGAAAACATCCTAAAAAGTATACAATAATAACATTTAATATTAAAATCCCATTTGTTTTTGTATCATAGATTAATTAATCATAACACCATTAATTCATTTATTTATTTCAGTAGACAGACTACCATCTTATAAATGTAAACATACTGGGAAAATTTCATTTTCCAAACACTTTTTGCTGCATTGTTGTTTTCATATCTTTTATATAAGTGAACTAGAATATCATGTGTTTAATAGATTTTCTTTTTTCTTCAACATTTTTTTCTTTTTTTAAAGAAAGTATGTAAAACAAAAAATTTGAAAATATGACCTTCCTTATAAACAACACACTTGGTAAATATCTTTGCTTGTTCGGGTGCAAATCTGTGCTAGGCAATACACATTTTATTATTACATTATTTGTTGTTAATTGGATGGCGCACACTTTCTCTAACTTACTTAGTAATTTCACAGCATTTATCATTTTCACAACATTTTTGCCAGCTTTCTCCCACTTTTTTTGGACTTTAAGATCTTTTAGAGAATCTGATAGAATAAACAGCTTGCAAATGTATTGTATTTACAGCTAATATGATGAAGTAAAGAGGTAGCATAAATGAAAAGAGGTATCCTGAAATTCTAGACTGTCTAAATACATGACAAAAATATTCAAAGTCAATCCAGTGTAAGATTTATGAACCCTTTATTTATAAAAAAAACTATAAATGCTAAAAACAGCATGCATTTAATATAAAGAAACTACAAACAACTGTTAAAAAAAAACCCTACACATAAAATTAAAGATCAAACAACAAAAACCCACCAAAAACTGGGGTTAAAGGAAAGGTGAGCAATTTCTGCTCCATCAGTGGCACCTGTTGTGATGTAACTCATTATAAGTCACATTCAGTCATAAAGGAACAGGATTATAACTAACAGAAATAGAACATATCTATCCATAATAGTCAACATAATCATGATGGCATCAGTAAAATTTATAATGGATAGATGGGTTGATTGGTATTTTATAACCAGTGGCAAATATTACATACATATCAGAACATGTTAGTATGCTATGAATATGAACCCTGCTTTGTACAAGTTAAGACTGAGACACTGAGCTGGATTTTCAATGTGTTATTTCACAAGGTATAAATAAGCCACACACAACTAAATGTAGCATGCCTTGCAGAGAAGCAGCAAATACCAATTCTCAATTCTTTGGTTTCATCTAGCAAGGGACTGAACCCAAAACCTCTGTACTAGAGCCAATCATGCTACCAAGAGACAAACAAGTCAGTTCTAAAACATCCAAAGAGATGAATCCTTAATATCTTTACCCCACTGAAATGTTATTGGCAATGGCTAGCAAACTGATAAGTGAACATATTTACTTTTACAAATTGTGACTTGGATGGAGAGTTGTCTCATTGGCACTCATACCACATCTTCTTATATCTATCAATTAGAAACACTGCCATTTTTTTGGTAAGTTTATTGTCTCCTATAGAGATATCCAATCAAAATCTTTCTTAACATTTTACCTTAAAAAAATGGATTTTCTCATTAAAAAAAATTCAACAGGCCTCATAATTCTACAGATGCTTGACATAAACATTTTATTTTCATGAATTTAGCAATCAAGTAGTAGGCCTTAGGACTAATACTGTATATCACTTATTCTTCACTTTATGTAAAACAGGGAATTAATGTAAAGAACATGTGTGTAATTATCTGTGAAATATCAGTGAAAGGTGATTTATTTTTACTTATATTACCTTATACAATAATCATTATAATTGAAACATACCAAAAATGATTTTGCTTTCATTACAATAAGTAGATCCTAATACATGTAGTTAACATCTTTTTATATAGTCCTAAGAAAACTATTTAGCTTATTCCACCATTAGCAGACATTAACACAGCAAATAGAACCAATGAAAATAAACTATCGCAAAAACAGAGCTTATGATATGTACAGTTTGGGATCTACAAACTATCTCAAAATAAAACAGCTAATGATATGTACAGTTTGGGATCTCCAAACTATCTCAAAAGAACAGAGCTAATGATATGTACAGTTGGGGACCAATAATCTATCTCAAAAGAACAAGGCTTATGATATATATGTACAGAAAGGGATCTATATACTATCTCAAAAGAACAGAGCTTATGATAAGTACCTCTAGGGCTCAGTAAACTATCTCAAAAGAACACAGCTAATGATATGTACAGTTGGTGACCAATAAACTATCTCAAAAGAACACAGCTAATTACATGTACAATTTGGGATCAATAATCTATCTAAAAAAACACAGCTTATGATATTTAGAGTTGGGGAAGCTATATCATGTATATCAAACTTAAAGAACACCAAGCATTAAAAAACACATATATCCAAAAAACACTGCACACCACTGATTGATTATTCATTTCCTATAGCAAGCCAAAATATATATATATGTATTAAAAGCTATATATGCTTTAAAATGAAGCTAAAAAGTGACCGCTGTGTTTTATAAGCTTTATATGTGAGTCATGTGAGCATGATAGAGCGGTCTTGCCTTTCCCGTTATTTGTTATCCAGTTGTCATTAGTATTTTTTCTACCTTCTGTCCAAGTTGGACTAGCACTGTACAGAGTTCCTAGTAAATATCATATATTATAAGCAAAGATTGAAAGACAGTATATTTGTAAAGATCCTTTTCCCCATGCAGTAAGAAGGAAGCTCTCCATACTAGGGAATAATAATATATCAATGAACTATTACTTTTATTACTGATCTTCACTATTTAATTACTGCAAGGTTTAAAATGACTTGAAAATCTTACAGACTCTTAGTGTTAAGAAAAGGTGGACAATATAATATTTACTTTCTTGCTGATAAGTATGTGATTTATATATATTTAGAAGTTATCTTGGCATCTTTTTTTACATGAATTTAAATTTTGCCCATTGTTAATGCTTATTTGCCATTAGGAGACTTAATTATATAACAAGACTAAGTTCAAATTTCAGTAATTTAAAACCGATCAGAAAACATAAAAACAAGATCACTACCAGAAACGAGAGAACTTCCTTCAAATATTTCTTATAATATACATAAACATTAAATATCTGCTAGAAAAGCCTAAGAAGTATATTATAATTCCTAAAATTTACCTAGTTGACCTTTTTGCATGACTTGTGGTAAAATTGCAGTTGCTCCACTTTTTCTTAGCTTCCCATTATTTTTGCATTGCATTAAAGTTGAGAGAATTTCTAAACAACTTTTTATAGCATCACATTTAATGTTCAACACTAGCATTTGCTAAACATTTTACCTATAAATGCAAGGAATAACTTCCTAAAAATCAAAATTAACAGTGAAGGGGAGGCAACTTTTTTCTCTTAGGGACAACATCTATATACATTCCTGACAGCTGACAGGTTGTCTCCTCACCTTACCTCAATGTTGTATATTAAATTCTACAAATTGTGACAGATCTTACCTCCTATTCTAACACACTCCTGTTTGTGTCTCTTGTCCCAGGCATGGATTTTACAGGCTTTACTGCAGTAATATACTTCCTTACACCTAGTACAAGCTGACAGTCTGACACCTACTGATCGGCCACACTCATAACAGTATTTAAACAGTGGCTTTCTATAAAATAAATATTTTAATAAGGTTATGGTCAGACCAAACAGATCTTTGAACATTTTTATTTGACAGCTATATTTACATAAAATGTGTTATATTTCAATGCTAAGTACGGAAGATGAAAAGACTCTTTCCCTGAAAATGTACAGTCAAACCTTGATAAGTGGTGTTTGAAGGGACCTTATAATAGTCTCAATCAATGTTCAAGTCATCAGAGGTACACAGTTACATTATATTTTATGTGACCAAGATATTTGTGTGAGGTATTCATATCAACACCTTATTATGTTTAAAATAAATCATCTTGAAATTAACAATTCTCCTTTCCTTTTATATCATCAACATTTAACATTCCCAAAAGTGTCTGCAGTACATTCTTATCATTGAAGTCAAATCTAAGTGCCCTTCATTTTTTCAATAAAAATAAAATATAAAGGACAGGTCCAAAAAAAGCCTTCACTCAAAAATGAAAATTCTAAAAAGTAATATAGTTTGTTGAAAGCTATGCTTTGAAGGCTCTGTCTTGGAATGACCAAGCATATGATCTTTAAACATTACAGATATGCCCTTTCAGTTACATATTGTGATTTTATTCCCTGGGATGTTTTACCCTGTTAATGATGTTGAACTATTTGTCTCTATACCATTCATTTATAATTTAACACACTATTATATATAATAAATAAACTTGCATTAATATAATACTTTATCTTGCAAGGAAATTTATCTTTGAGTGGAAATCAAAGATGTAAAAAATAAATTTAAAAAACAACATTAGACACAGGCACTATTTTATATACAATGCATTATGTTATTTTCTCTATTCTGTACAAATAATTTCATTTAACCCATAAATTAACTGCTTTTTTAACATAAAATACTGTAACTGGCTAACCTTCAATACCCAGTTTAACTTAAAAATAATGATATGTTAAGTTAATCACAGCAAACTAATTAAAAAACAAACAATAAACAAAAAACAAAAGACAAACAAACGTGGAAACATTCTGATCGGTCAAATATCAAACAACAAAATACCCTAATCCCATTCCAATGTTTAATCATAAATGATTAAGTCATTCATTTATAAATAAATATATTATAGAAACATTTTAAACAAGATTAAATTATGACAGATTTCCATGAATTTAAAATTACCATCAACCTTTAATATTTTTATAAAACAAAAACCAAACAATCCTTTGTTAAGTAATAACAGCAACAATTCAACACTGAACAAATACTTCTATTTGAATAATTCAAAATGCTTTGAATGTAGATAAAGTTGGCCAAATATTAAATTAATTCTGTCTATTTTCACTAAACAAGTATTGTACTCTTACATGATCAAACATCAGTATTATATTTATAAAGAAACTCATATTTTACATGGATGTTTCATATCGAAATGCATCTTTTAGACAATGTTAATTTTTGTCATAAAGTATTTGTTCCTATTAATACGCAAACACAACATTTGACTATTTCTGTTGGAAACAGAGTTACGTGCATAGGGTTCCAATGGAAAGAACTGTGAAGTGAGGAATGTGATCCATGCCAAAATTGTAAACTGAAACAAAATACATCATGTACTACTCATCAAATTTATTGTTTTCATTTACCCATCACCAAAAATCAGGTGTTGAGATTATTTCATATTTAATTTCTTATTTATCAAAGACTAGTAAAGCTCCATATGAACTACAAACTAAAGTATACCCCATATCCTTTGATTTTCTTTTATACTTCAGTACATTTGTATTTTTCTTAATAATTCTGTAACTATCTTCTTGTTTCAAAACATTTATGAGCTATGTCAGATTCAGATCAAACAAAATAATACTAACTAGATATCATTGAGATGGGAGCCATCTCTGTGGGCCCCGCTATGAATAATGTGAAAGTAAAAAATTTGTATCTTTATCAATCGACATGGGGTTGTCAACTGAAACCAAAGTTTTTGACCTTGACCTTTGACCTAGGAAGTTGTACATAAATTATGACACATCCTCTGGTGTTGGTTTATATACATGTCAAGTATAAACTTTGAAATCATAACGGTTCTCAAGATATAGAGCGGACACGATCTTTACCATAGGACATGGGTTTGTCAACTAAAACCAAAGTTTTTGACTTTGACCTTTGACCTAGGAAGTTGTACGTACATTATGACACACCCTCTGGTGTTGGTTAATATACATATCAAGTATAAACTTTGAAATCATAACGGTTCTCAAGATATAGAGCGGACACAATTTGTTACGGACGGACGGACGGAAGGACAGACAGACAGACGGACGGACAGACTGATCACTATAGGGTGTCCGCCATTCGGCAGGGCCCTAATTAATTTGAAACAAATGTGATTATCAAAGCAGACAAAAACTAAAAGTTTCACAAAAGAAAAAATATGAAAAATGAAATATGAGGTAGACCCTTCGATGGAAAGGAATGATGTTTATAAGACCCTTACTATATCATTTATAGCCAAAAACTTATGCCTGATCTATATCTGTTATACTAGAAAATAGCCAAATTCATCTAACGTCAACTTAGATTGATGGAGTTGGAACCTTAGTTACTCTTTGAACATTGGTTGAAAAGCTTCATTTCTTAACCCAATAATTAATTAAAATTCTCAAAGTAAAAAAAAATAATTTAAAAATGCAGTGATTTGAAGATTACAACATTCTAATAATGATTGGTGGAAAAAATAACTTATTACAGTGTTGTATTATGAAACATGTGATTTCATATCAATATATATACTTCTTTGTTTTATATATGCTGGATAGAACTCATAAATTTTTTTTTTTAAATCAATAAAAAGGTAGATGTACCTTGGTGGTAATGTTCCTGGCTCCTTCTCAGGGTAACCTCTCCCTACAGTGCGAGGACTTTTTGTTGATGGTTCAAATTTGACTTTACTTTCCCCTGTCATATCAGGTGATTTTGATGGTGACTTCGGAGATTTTGGTGACCTAGATTTTCGGTGGCCTGGAGGTAGTTCGGCTCCTGCTCCAGTGTAGACAAAGTTAGGACTAGGACTTCTACCTATAAATCAGTGAAATAAGACAGTATTATTTAAAGCTACTTGTATGTGTCATATCCATTATCACCATTGTTTCATAAAAAAAAATATGTATTAAAAAAATTAAACTGTCTATTAACTTTGATATGCGAAACATGGTTATAAATTTTGATAAACATAAGCTATATATCCAATATCACTAATAAAAACCTACAAATAATAACAAATAAAAACCTACAAATAATCATATTAAAAGTGTATGCCTGGGAGAAAGCAATAAGTTTTTAAAAAGTATTTACACACATTTTCAAAAAGCAAAAGGCTAACAATGCATTTGCTATATCTAATTAGGTTTATAAAGCAAGCAATAATATGAAGAACAGTAATCCACAGTGATTTACTTCTAATTCCCTGACTATTATCATCTTCCAATCTGAATCTTTCTCTCTCTACAGCCTTGGTCCTCAGTATATCACCAAGATGTTCCAATAGCTTTTTCCTGGCATTGTATGTGTCTCTTTCGGCATGTGTTAGTGCATGGTAAGGCATGTGGGCTATTCTTCTGTCCTATAAATGATTGACAAACCAGATATATTACACACTCTTTTACATTATGGAATTAATATCAAGTTCATAAATACTCTATTTATCCCAATTACATTTTTGTATTTTAATTTCATAAATTGTATTCTTTTTCAAATTATATATTTAACTTTTAAACAATCATTAATCAACATGAAACATAGTATAAGTGAATATACCAGTACAATTTTCTGAAACACAGATGTTCTATCAGATGAAATCAAAACAGTTCTATTTTTATAGTATTTCAGAGTGATTTTTTCCTTTAGACATAGACTTCAAGAAAAGTGCATAAATCATATGTGAAGCTCTAAATTACTCTGAGTCAAGAAAAGTTGAGAATAGTTTTGATCGACACTATCATAGATTTTTTGCAAATTTTTAAAAGTACATTGCAGAATGAAAATTTATAACAATTCTTTTGCTATTTTTACAATATTATATTTTTTTTTATGAATGAATATATGCTCCCTTCCAAATATGTGTATCGTACACACAAGCTTTCTTCAACCTAAATTATTTTGAATCTTCTGACAAAACAAGGACGCCATATAGTATATTTAAAAGAAAGTTATACTAAAAAATTGAATGTTAAATTCTCCCTGGCCTGCTCGTCAGAATTTAAAGTATTTCTTTACTAAATTCCCTCGTATAAATAAGACAAAACTCTAATATAGATTTGGTTGCTCGCAGTAACTTGTTCTTTTCTCTTGCAAACAATGTTTAATAACATAATAATCTAATATAATTTAATAACAATATTCAAATTGACATTTGCATACAACAAAATTGTCCAACACATCATTATATGTAAATGAACTTAAACTATATGATAGATCCATATTCCAAATATGACAATAAACGGTAAACTGTACGTTGTAGTTACTGTGAGCACCTTTGATGAACTGACTGCTGGACAATTCCTTTATATTATATAACGGAACCCCACCCTTTAAACCGCCAAAGCATTTCACATGCATATATAACCAATATATCTAAATCCAAAATAACAATAACCCGTTTTACATCTTCTCTAACCAGTTTTGAATATATTTAAATAAACTATATTTAACGCAGGGGAAATCCCTAAAGTCAAACAAAAAGAAATATATTTATTAAAGAATGACAAAATTATATGCCTTGAAGTGTTAATCATCGTCTGTTCTGTTTGGAGAAATACATTAATCCTATCATATGATACACAAGCTTCAATTTAATATCCACTTTCACAACAATATTAGTGATTTTTCACTTTGTGATTCGATATACAAGTACATGCAAAATTGTGATTAAATTGGAAAGTTACATTCCTTTAGATAATCCTTTTATAAAATAATCAATATCTATTCATCATTCATAACCTGATCCAGATTATATTGTCAGCTAAATAAAATATAATACATAAATTCAAAACACTTTTAATTAAATTACAATTAAATGAAACAAGCCATATTAAGCAACAACAGTTCTCCAAAGTGGAAAACAACAACTTATTATAAAAGTATCCTTTAACGTTTGCATATTTTTATAACTTTTCTAATCTTTAATAAAAATCTTATAAAATTTGTTGACTGAAATGTTATTATGAATTACTGGGCCACATTAGCACTGTATCAATCTAATAGCAAGATAAATTAATATCCTAGTAGTAATAAATAAACAAACCTGATTAAACATATAGTAAGCATAGTCTACAGCAGTTCCCATGATCCTCTTGGGTCCTATTGGTATTGGAGCTAATATATTGCCACCAGTTTTAACTAGTTTATCAATCTATAAAACAAAAGAATCTTTAGTTTACCCTAAAAAAAACCTTCTATTTTAAGATGAAGTAAAATGTGTCCTAATGTTGAGTTGTATGCTTTTTTATTATTATTTTCTAATTATGATTTGTTTGTTTATTAAACTATTTCTCATGATTGTACTTCTTCATATTTTTGTTTTCGCATAATTTATGTTGAAGGAAGAAAGAAAGATGTTTTTTGAAATAAAAGAAAGATTCTAACTTTCTTTTTACATAAAATAAAGCAATTAACATTTTCGTTTACATAAAATGAGGCAGTTAACATTTTCTTTTACATAAAATGAGGTAGTTAATATTTTCTTTTACATAAAATAAGGCAATTAACATTATCTTTTACATAAAATAAGGCAATAAGGTATGATTGCCAATGAGACAACTATCTATAAACACCAAGGATAACTATATGCATGTCTGGAAATTGAAATGATGAGAAATGACAAAGAAGTACTTTAGAAGCTCTAATTTCAAAATAAGTGCAGCCACAAGAATGCAACTTTTAAGCACTCTCTGGTGAAAACAGATTTTTACAATTTTCCCAATAGTTTTTGTTCCTAAAATAATAGTGGTACAGGCCTTTGTGTCTACATGGACCAATGTGATACAGGCTTTTGTGTCTATATTTACATTTACACTTACCAATGCAAGTCTTGTAGTTATAGGTCTTCTATACTCATACTCAGTAGAAGCTGCAACACAGAGAGCACTTCCAACACCATGAGTCAGAACTAAACTAGGATCAGCAAGGAATGCCAATAAAACATCTATTGCCTGTTTGAATAAAATTGACAAAGTATTGATTATATTAAGTTGTCAACATTATATCCATCATAAAAAGTTAAACAAAAATTTAAATTAATTGTCAGCTTTAAAGTGTATACATAAACATTTTTTGGGGAGATTTTAAAATTAACCTTTCATGATTTTATAACCCTATGTTCTAGTTTAATTAATATATCATTATGGTTATAATTGATATAATTTTTTATCTAAACATAAGGATGATCATGGCCTAGTTATATTAGTTGTTACATAATAGTCTAAGAATAGAGGATGATTATAGATTAGAAGATACTGCCCAAGGATGCAAAATTAAGAAGCAATATTCTGCAGTAGTATCAATCAATATAAAATTTAAGAAATTATTGTTTTTATAAACATGATACATACGTATACATAAACAATGATCATTAATAAAAAGTAAAATGTTCTAAAATTAATTTAAATAAATATTGAAAATGCGAAATATTCATAACCAGAAACCCCAAAACAGTATAAAAATAGTGCAGTGTAACACTGCAAAGTCAGTTATTATCATCACTTAAGTTGAGAGTGAATAAAAGATGTGAAGAATAAGAATGAGAAATTCACAAAGTACATCTGCAACAACACAGCATGACTGCCTCTTTTCTCTGTATGGCATACATTAAGCATATGATTCACATGGAAATAAAATGTATCTCTTCTTCTAGCAAACCAAAATAATTCAATACAGTGTTAGATTTTTGTACATTTAATTTCCTTGACTGTTGATCTGCAAAATAACCAATGTATAATGAGAGATCAGGTTGACTTAATTATTACTTTAATTTTTTTTTCTTCAAAAAACGTATGTGGGAGATTTGTGTCTGTACCAAGTCATGCTATGTGGACCATGTATTTTTGTTGTTGCTGGTCTTTTTTTTGTACATCTATTTATTTCAGAGGTGTCAGATTTTGGTTGTTTGTGTGTTTGTTGTACTGCTTAATATTATTGATAATACCTGTTATCCTTTTATGTATTATGCTTCCGTAAACTCTGATTAAAATGCAACATAGTTTGTAACATAAATTTCAGTTGGATAATGCTCCGAATTTCAAAGCTTCAATTCCATAATTGATGGTCTTAAATTGTGCACACACATGTTTACCTCATGCAGATGATTTTTAAAATGTATGATTTAATAGTTATTTTTCAGTTGCATTATAATTCAGATAAAAGTAGTGTATTTGAAACTTTTTGCATTGTTAATTTGCTCTTACTTTACACAAACTGGAGAAAAAAAAATTCAAGCTATTAAAGATTTAATAGAGAAATTTTTTAATGCACAATTTTAAATTCTGAAAATTATTGTGGAGATCATATGGATAAAATGATTGTAAAAACAAATTTTAATGTATATTTAAAACAATGATTTTCATTGAATTATTTTGATATCAAAGTGGAATTGATGTATAAAACTGGAAAATAAAAAAAGTATTGTGTACGCATTGGAAAAATAAAAATTGAAGAAACAACCTGATCTTCCACAACTTTGGTTATTCTTAAAGCATTAACACATATAGAAAGCCAGAAATTGATTGAAGAACATGTGTAGATATCCATTTAATATTTCATCAAGATTCTTTGTGATATTGCACTGCAGTGATAACAAGCCATCAGATTACCTCAAATTTTATCTAGTAATGAAAAGGCACACACAATTATACATGCAACACTAACGTACATATTTAGCATGAAAAATACTTTAAACAGGTGCACTATCAAAACACAACATTTACATTAAGTATGTCAAAACTCAAAAAATCTTAAAAACATTGAATAAAAGACTTGATCATGATTAGAAAATATATATATATATATAAACAATAAGTCTACTTTACAAACTAAATCTGTTACTTAGACTGATACACTGTGCAAAAGGGATTGGGTATACATAATCAGTGGTCTTATAATGATTATATGTACATAAATAGAGTTAAATATTTTCTGGTTCAATTGATGACCTACCTGATCATTACCACTAGCAATAGCTAGGGCAAGGGGAGAGAATCCATTACATAGTAAGTTTGGATTGGCCTTGTGCTCAAGAAGCAGATGAACAACTTTACAGGCATTCTAAAAAAAAAAGGAAAAAATTATATATTGTACAAATATTCATCAGTAATTTCCTTTAAACTATGTTTATCTAAATTCTTGTAAGCTGAAATGTCTTTTTCTCTTACTGCTCTTTTAAAATTTATAAAGTTCAGAAGCACTGGAGAAAAGTGTTAGAAAATAATAATTTCTTTCATCATATTGAAAAATAAAAATTATTGGTAAACATGCAGTAGATGTCTGACAGTTTGTAAACTTGCTCAAATGTTACAACTCATTACTGTTAATTATCAAAGGTACCAGGATTATAATTTAATACGCCAGACGCGCGTTTCGTCTACATAAGACTCATCAGTGACGCTCAGATCAAAATAGTTATGAAGCCAAACAAGTACAAAGTTGTAGAGCATTGAGGACCCAAAATTCCAAAAAGTTGTGCCAAATACGGCTAAGGTAATCTATTCCTGGGATAAGAAAATCCTTAGTTTTTTCGAAAAATTCAAAGTTTTTGTGAACCTGCTGACCAAATATGAAGTTATTCTATCAAGATGTACCTTAAAACAAATGTGACAATAATATTTGTTGGAGGAATGGATTACAAAATGGATGTACAAAGTGATATCAATATAGAGAGGGTATTATAATAATAATCTGTCCAAACAACCAACATTATAACAAGATAAAGTGCCAATATTAAATAAATCTTGATATAAATCAAATTTTTTTTTCATAAAATTATCATAACTTTTTTCACAACTTATTTCCAAATTTTAACCCATTTATTACATCTTATTTAAAGAATGTTTTTTTTAATTAAGGACTATGTTAAACTTGTTAAAGTTTTACCACAAACTTAAATCATGATTTATTTATATTTTTGTAATAATTTACTTCAGAAAATACCTTAGTTTGTGTCTAAATGAGTAATCTTTAAGAAGTGCAATTCATAAAATAAAATAATTTAAAACTTATGAGAAAATGAAAAAAAAAAGGTTTTTAATGGGAAGATTTTCTTTATGAAAACCAGCAAACAAATATCTTTTAAATGAATTAAGTTGTAAAATATTGTACTTTAAAAGATAGCTAATAATTTATTTTAAGTTAAAGGAAATAATTGTTTACCTTATAATTATCATCCCTTGCACATGCTATATGTAATGGAGTTCTACCACCCAGTAACAGTTCACTCTCAGGAGATATGGTGTCTTTATTCCATTCTTCTTCCTATAAGTAATTGTAAAATATTAGTGTATGTTACAAAATATATAATATATACATACTTAAGAGCCAGAAATCAACATTTAAGGGATAAACTCTTATAAGAAGTCAATTATTGGTTTCAGTCACAATGTATTTTTGTTCGCACTTTCTGTTTATTTATATTAGTTTTCAAGATAATAGGCAAAAACTTTAGTCGTCAAAAATCATCATTTAAGGGAACAAGAGTGCACACGTTGAAATGTCTCGCATTCTTTACTAACCATTGATATTATGCTGATAGTCCTAAATATAAAGCTTTACTACAACTATCACATAATTAAACTTAACATGATCTAAGAAAATGAGGTCAAGGTAAAATAAACCAAACTAGAAATACATGTACACCTTACAATCATTCAATACACTAAATATAGTTGACCTATTGCTTATAGTTTCTAAGAAACAGACTTAACCAAGAAAACTAAACATTGACCAATGAACCATGAAAATGAGGTCAAGGTCAGATGAACCATGCCAGGCAGACATGTACAGCCTACAATCCTTCCATACAACAAATATAGTTGACCTATTACTTATAGTTTAAGAAAACAGACCGAAACACAAAAACTTAAGACTTAGCAATGAACCATGAAAATGAGGTCAAGGTCAAATAAAACCTGCGAGACTGACATGTACATCATAAAATATTTCCATACACCAAATATAGTTGACCTATTGCAAATAGTATTAGAAAAAAAGACCAAAACTCAAAAACTTAACTTTGACCACTGAACCATGAAAATGAGGTCAAGGTCAGATGACACCTGCCAGTTGGACATGTACACCTTACAATCATTCCATACACCAAATATAGTAGACCTATTGCATATAGTATAAGAAAAACAGACCAAAACACAAAAACTTAACTATAACCACTGAACCAGGAAAATGAGGTCAAGGTCAGATGACACCTGCCAGTTGGACATGTACACCTTACAATCCTTCCATACACCAAATATACTAGACCTATTGCTTATAGTATCCGAGATATGGACTTGATTACCAAAACTTAACCTTGTTCACTGATCCATGAAATGAGGTCGAGGTCAAGTGAAAACTGTCTGATGGGCATGAGGACCTTGCAAGGTACGCACATACCAAATATAGTTATCCTAATACTGATAATAAGAGAGAAATTAACATTACAAAAAATCTTAACTTTTTTTTTCAAGAAGTCACTGAACCATGAAAATGAGGTCAAGGACAATGGACATGTGACAGACGGAAACTTCCTAACATAAGGCATCTATATACAAAGTATGAAGCTTCCAGGTCTTCCACCTTCTAAAATATAAAGCTTTTAAGAAGTTAGTTAACGCCGCCACCGCCACCGGTTCACTATCCCTATGTAGGGCTTTCTGCCACAAAAGTCGCAGGCTCGACAAAAATCAAGTCCTCATGAATTATTTCTATTCTAATAGGACAAAGACTTCAACTCTTTTGGATTGAAGCGCTCTAGGTAAAGGCAAATATTTGCTGATTAACAATATCATACTTAGACAGGTTTGGACAAAGTTAAATGATTATCTTACTTTTATTTAAGAAAATGGGTTTTCATGATATTTTTGTCATCGTTTGTTATTGTTTCAATGTCTTTTTTACGACTTTCAGTTTCACATTGGTGCCTTTCCCTGTAGAATGCTATTTCCTTCAAGTCTTTACATCAATTGACCTTGGATATCTCATTCATAAAACATTGTAAAAAGCATACAGCCCAAACAAATCATTACATTGCCGATCAGCTGACATACAATATATTCCTATTTTACCACATGTATGTACCCAAAGTGTTTGAAGAACATCATATCTAAATAATAAATAACCATAAGTGTTGATTAAATTTCAACAGATTTGCCCATTGAATACCCTGTATTGGTGCCATGTGCCTCAAAGTAGTAACTGGTTTTCATATGATATAAAAGTTTATCACAATGCCACTTCCCGTATTAATTAGCCAATAGAAAACCACATGCATATATAACAGAAAATGTAAAACTTTCTGTAAACTTAGGTTGATAGTACTTTGGTTTCAATAATGCAGGTACCATTGCAACAACATGATTAGATTTAATACGTCTGGCTTTATATCTTATCACCATTAAAATGTTCCACAAAGACTGAGATTTATTTCTGACCTTTCATTTAAATATGAAGTCACCTATATATAATTACAAACTAAAAATTGGAAACATTATGTCAAATATCAAAGCAATTCAACTTATACTGACTGGTCTGGTAAGTTTAGATATTTTTAATCATTACAGAAAATCACAATATCTTTGCAAGTTTCTACATTAAAACATATGAATGTATATACACACCAGATTTCTGTTAAGAAATGAATCATCCATAGTAGCTCTGACATCTGGTTCAGCACCAGCATGTAATAATAACTCTGTGATCTGTACACCTTCATCTCCAGGGATTGCACAGGCTATATGTAAGGGAGCTAACCCTCCTTTCTGTAAATATATTATATAACAAAGTTTATCAGTACAAATAATCATAGGTTTCATAACGAGAAGGAATTGGATATCTCTTGATATCAACTCGAGTTATTTCATTTCTATATAATAATAAGTGAACCTTTAGCGAGAATCAAATAAAGAGCGTTGATATCAAGCGATATCCAATTCTCATGAATTGTTAACCTATTTCTCTTATTGTAAACATTCTGTTCTTGTTTAAACGAAAAGTCCACGACTCGTTGATTTAGTCTTTTGCACATACCAGTCTGTCATATGTCCTGTTCCAGCATCAAACTTTAACATCAGACTTTTTGTATGCTATAGAAGTAAAAAGTGGAGTGTTTTGTATATAGAAGAAATCACATATCTCTGTTACCATGAAGGAAATGACCTAACAAATAGCCAATGGAAATGTCCCAATATTGTTTCATGATTCTGTATAAGCCAATCAAATTAACACAATTTTCGTACAAGAAATATCTATTCATGCAAGAAAAAGATAAAAGGCCACAACCATGAGAGAATGACATATATAACATCAAAGTGTCATCTGTTGTAATTTGTTTGGAACATCTAGGTTACTAGAAATATTTAACACAGATACAAAATAAATATCTGCACCATGAGCCCATGATATGCCCCTTGCTTTTTCAATGAAGAAAGTTCCATAACTCTCCAATGTCATATCAGAAATTTATAAAAAATCTAAAGGGAGCTTATTTTAATAGATATAAACCAATCACCAAAGTTTCGTGAAGACTGCTCGAAGAATTTTGAGTTATTGTCTGAAAACTAGATCCCCCTTTTTTATGAATAAAATCATATTACTCAGAAATGTAAAATCTTAAATTTTATAGAAATCAAAAGGGAGCTTATGTCAATAGATATAAACAATTCACTAAAGTTTCATGAAAATTGGTTTAAGCGTTTTAGAGCTATTGTCCGACATGTTGACAACGAACAGACGGACGGACAACAGTATACCATAATAATCCTGTAAACAGGCGTATAATTGCAAGAGTGAAATTAATTATTTGAATCTCCTACACCAGATAATGATCAAGATGTGGTTTCAGTACATGATACAGTAGAATTTAACTACAAATCACAAGAACTTTATGATTAGAACAGCCTACTGGGTGAGGATCCCGGACCAGTTACACTGTACCATCAGCTGGCATTTTATGCATATCAGAGGTGCTATTTAAATAGGGCTTTTGAATTAAGTTTCTTATCAATAAATATAACCATTGCTTTTGAAATTCAAAGGTCTATGAGAAACAGTACTTAAAATATTCTTGCAATTTTTCATTGCAAATGAGACATGTACAAACCTCCTTAGGAAGAGTAATGGCAGTAGAAGCTCCTCTGTACAATAAAGTCTTCACCATTTCTACATCAGCTGATTTTATAGCAAAGAACAAGATAGGCATGGGAACACCAGAGGCATTAGGGTCAGCACCTCTTCTCAATAACAAATCTAAAGTAGCTTTCATCCTCTCTTTCCTGTTAAGAAATTGTCAAAATGTACTACACTGTAATTCGGGACAACTCATAACAAACTTACGAAATCTTTAGACCTCTTATAATTAGGTACCTGTCACTATGACTATAAAACCTTTTTTCTTTTTCTTTTTATAGTAAATATTTCTAATGAGAAGTTTCACACGCAAAAATTAAACTGTGTCACTGAACTCACAACAAAATTAGAATGTACAAAAACAGAAAACAGAAAGCGATTGTCAACTTTGCCTTTAAAAACACTTAATATAAATAATTAAATGTGTAATTTTCAGAAAGTCTTGTTTAAGCTTACTCATTTTTTATAACAGCCATATGTCTAACTGTTCCCAACATTGCACTGTCACGGGAACGTCTGCCACCAACAATCTTCTCATTTGTACTCAGCTGAGTAGCACATCTTTCTAACAACTGTTCAGACACTTCTATTTCAAAGTCCCTTAGTGTAGCAACAGACTCAAATTCACTCTCTTCTGTCTTATGGTCCTCACCAGATAAAGAAAACTTCACTTCCTTACTGGCATCCCCTAAAACTGAATCACTGTCATTTTCTTTTATATTTTCTTTTGAACCATTAACTTCTGGTTCAACAATTCTAACTTGTTGTTTACCAGAGAGATTCTGGTTACTATCATTCTGTGCAAAGCCGCTGTCAGCACTGATAAGACTGGTACCTGAGGGAACAACCTTTTTATCTGTACTAATGGCAGGAGATTCTCTTCCTTTTTGTTTAGGTGGAGCTGGTGTAGATTTAGTGCTTCCTGGTGTCTTCTTTGTAGCGAGGATACCTAATAAAGACAAAAGATAATGAAACAGTGGTTTTCTAATATATGTAACCAGTTGCATGGTTTATGTAGAGTTATTTCCCCTAAGATGCAAAATAAGTTGGATTTCTGTTCCATTTTAAACTCTGTGCCAATAATGAAAAAAAATAACAGATTTTCACTGAATTTGTTCACTCCAATTTTAATTCTTTTTGATTAATGAATGCATTAATTCTCTACTACATCAGAATCTGTCAAATCTATCTGCCAAGGAGACATCTATAATTGAAATTATAACAATTTCTTTGCTGATAGACATAAACTTTTATTAAAACTTTTTCAAGACATATTTCTGTTTAATTTATTATTTTTTTTATAGACTCAGGATGATTATGAGATTGACATCATTTTAGACCTTATAGCTATTTAGGCTGAAAAAGGAAAAGGTCCGGTAAGGGCTAATTTTGGCCTAAAATTCGAAGTACATCTGATGAAAGATTTTTGACATTTTTTAAACACTTGAGTATCTACTTCAGTTGATTCAATTAGTTTTTGTAAAAGATTTGAACTGATTTGGTCATTAAAGACGCTCAAATTCAAGCTAAAATATTTGAAATCTATGAAATACGCCAAAAAAAGTCACTTTTCAGGTGGTTTTTGTCTAAAATGGAATTGGCCGCATTCGTGTTCAGTTTCAACCTTTATATATGTTATGCATTATCATCAAATACAACATATATATAAATAATAAGACTGAACACAAGTGCGGCCACTTCCATTTTTGGATAAAAAATGTCTAAAAATTAGCACAAATGCTAAAATTGTGACGATTTCAGTAATTTTGTATGAATTAATGATGCTAGTTCCTGATGCATGTGCATTGTGTTGTCAAAAACAGCCCATATTTATGTAACCAAAGTATTCTTCTTTCCAAGAAATAGCTAAAAGTTTACATTGTTAACAAATTTTTGAAATGCTATATTTTGGGGCCAAAAAGGAGTCTTACCGGGCCTACTCCTTTGCAACACTTGAACTACTGATGTCATACAACAGTCAATTTGTTTGGTAATGTACAAACATTTTCTATTGTGACGTCAATATTTTACAAGGACACCTTTGAAATGCAGTTATGACAAACAAATAGTGATAAGGTGTACTGTATACAGACACGGGTCCTTTGTTGAAGACTGTATGTTGTCCTAAAGATGTCGTTTGGTTATTTGTGTCCTTGGACTGCTGTTATATTGATGTTTACACACACATCCTTTAATTTGATTAATACATTTATATCTGTAAATTCAAATAAGTTTACCTTTTTGAGATTTAACAGCCTTTCTGTCTTTTTCTTCATAAACAGCAGGTCTATCTAGATATCTCTCTGCAATGTTATATCTAAAGCCTTCTAATGGATAGAAGAATATGGCTCCAGCTGACAATGCAGAACAACCTTCACCATTTAATTTATTCACATCAGCTCCATGATTTAATAAACAATTAATTACATCTACTTGCCAATTGACCTGCAGTCAAAGAAAACAGAATTTGTTTTATTAATTATCAAAAAAAATATATATTTTAGTGGGCCTAATGTATTTGTAATGTTGGTATACGTATTCATATCTTGTAATCTACATCCCAATATTTATATGTCAGAGATGAGGGTGTTGTTTTTTTTATTGTACTTCAGGGTAACTACTTATAATTAGGTACATTCTTATAGTGTTCAAAAAAAGTATTATCATTTATTTCTATCGATTCTCATTATTTAAACTACAGAATAAGTATTGTAATCTTGTTTTACTTCATACAGGAATCATTTCAACTTTTCTTTTTGTTCTAAATGTCTAGCATGAGAATATGGAGAAATCAAGATATAAAGAATTAATTAAGAAATGACAGAGTCATTGATTAGAGGAATACATGTCAAACATCTCTACCTTATTGAAGTTCTACATATTTAAACAGTTTAATTTTACTTAATATTTCAAAAAACAGTCGGATGTACATAAGCATTGTATAGACACCTATCTTTTGTTGAAGTCTGTATGTTGCTCTCTAGGATGTACTTTTTTTTACTGGTTGTCACATAAACGTATACCCTTGGTCTTTTTTCATAATTCTAATGATAATGTAAAATTGACATGTTAATATTAAGAGCAATTCTCTGTAACCACCAACCATTTCATATAGGGGTGGGGCTGGCACGCATATAGTCACCGATTTTCCTGAAACTTAGTCTGACCATATAATTAGGTGAAAAAGTAAGAAAAAAAGCCTCCCAAAGTGTTGCTAGGCAAGAGTTTTCCTGTACGTTGATGCGATTTTAGCATTGAAAAAACACCTACTTTGCAAGCATTCTGAACAAAACCAGATTTTATTTAATGATATTTGTTAATATTTTTCAGAAACATGATACTTAACAATCATAACAGCAATGTAGTATATAAATAATATTTTCGCTGAATATTGTCACAACCGCAGGAGCAGAGGTCATTTTTTCATTGCATTTGTAAAGACGAATTATACACATTTAGCCTAAACAAAATATACAGTTTTGCATCCACCTTCATTTAAGTTGTGGTAATAAATATGAAGTATCAATGTTTCTAGTCAATAATTTATAACAAATATTTGGAATTCGAAGTGCTAGGATGGTTGCTATGGAAGCCAAAATGTGTCATTTTTGTTTTTTTCTCAGAAATTTGACAAGGTTATTAAGATTACCCAAAACAGTTATTACAATTGAATGACTATGTGAAAACTATTGAGCATTAAATAACATTTAATTTACCTCAAGGTCAAAGATCATAGATGACCTTGACCTTTGATCTTGCGTATATTAATTAGATTAGTACGAAAATATAATAGAAAGAAGCAAACAATACGTAGGAATGTTCAGGACGATTAAAGCCACTATTTTGTTTACAGGTTAACATAAAGAAGTTAAGGTCTTGTCAAAAGCGCTCAGCACTAAGATTACCCAAATACTGTTATTACAATTGAATGACTATGATGTGAAAACTATTGAGCATTAAATGACATTCAATTTAACTCAAGGTCAAAGATCATATATGACCTTGACCTTTGACCTTGTGTATATTAATTAGATTTGTAAGAAAATATGATAGAAAGAAGCAAACAATATGTGAGGAAAATGTTCATGATGATTAAAGCCACTATTTTGTTTACAGGTTAACATTAAGAAGTTACGGTCTTGTCAAAAGTGCTTAGCAATCACCCTTATTGACATAAAAGAACCTAGTAACAATGTACGTTTTCATTCAGGACTGTATGGATTATTACATAAAGCAGGGTCAGGGGTGAATGTTATCATACGTCCTCGGCAACCATTCATTTATAGTGAAAAATGTCTAGCAACCATTTATTTATATTGCAAAGTTGCCATCAAACCATTTATTTATATTAGAAAAGTGCCTAGCAACAATATATTTGCGGTTTCATTGAGACAAAAATCAGAAAAAATTGATATCAAACCTGCAGTTTTCTTTAAATTAGTAATCCCTTATAAGAACACACATTGTATGTACCGAATTAGTTTTGTTGAATTACACTGACTTGAATGTACACATGCATAATACGGAATAGTTAATTATATGGAAAATTTAATTTCAAGGTTGAAAAATAAGGGTTTGATTACAAATCCAAATACAAAGACAACTTATTTCATTTTTTTTTACAAAATTTTCTTTTTTCGTAGTGTACACACCTCTTTCTATTTTCAAATGGTATGTGCACCTGAATGTACAGAAAATTCATTTCTTGGGTAATGATATTCAGTTCTAGACACCATTGCATTCATTTCATTCAATATCCCCATCACAAAATATAGAATGGTCTTTCCCTAGCTAACAGAACTTCTCTGAATCCACTCAATTGTGTGGATAATATATATGAGAAAAAAAAACTCCTTCTTAAAACCAAATACATTGTGTGATCTGCATTAACTTTTTTTCATGTATATTTTACATTGGTGGTCACATAGTTTTAAAGCTAAAATGTAAAAATCCCAAAATTTAGCTCAAATAATTCTTTTCGGGCAATAACTAATAAAGAAAGTTGATTTACAATTTCAGGAATGTTAACCCATTGGTAAATCTTATCTTTAAGCTCATTTAAGCTTTATATTCCTCTCTTTACCTATTAAAATTTTCAAGAACAGCAAACAAATTAATGACAATTTCAGTAATGACTATGTCAACATATTTTAACTTTTTTCGTTGATCTGTTTTTCTGAAAGTATATCTCTGTCTATTATAGTTCTTAAAATAAAACCCAAAACGCAGAAAGGGAGAAAAATCATTAAAAAATTGAAGTTTTTAAAACAACAGTATAGAACCCAATTCACACCATGCCATTGTAAAATGTAGTTTCTAAAACAAGAGCATAATTAATTTTTTACAATTCTGTTTCAAATATAATTTCTAAAACAATAGCTTAACTCAGTCTATTCTATGCCTTTACAAAGTGAAGTTTCTTTTTTTTTTGTACAGTTTATTTATTTATTTCTTTAATGGCAATTTGTCACACCTGGGACTTACATGAGTAATACAATCTCTTGGTCCCAGGTTGTCTTTGCCTATGTGCACTTAAGTTATAAAGAAACACAATCTATGGTGAGTAAAATACTATTACAAAAAAAAGTAATACAATTATGTAGTATGAAATATAAATTTGTATAAAATATAAACTATACAAGAGTGCACACGCTGAAATGTCTCGCCTTCTTTACTAATCATTGATATTATGTTGATAGTCCTAAATATAAAGCTTCATTACAGCTGTCACATAAACTTAACATTAACCAAGTAAACTAAACATTGACCAATGAACCATGAAAATGAGGTTGAACCATGCTAGGCAGGCATGTACAGCTAACAATTCTTCCATACAACAAATATAGTTGACCTACTGCTTATAGTTTAAGAAAAACAGACCAAAACACAAAAACTTAACACTGAGCAATGAACCTTGAAAATGAGGTCAAGGTCAAATAAAACCTGTGTGACTGACATATAGATCATAAAATATTTCCATACACCAAATATAGTTGAACTATTGCATAAAGTATTAGAAAAAAAGACCAAAACTCAAAAACTTAACTTTGACAACTGAACCATGAAAATGAGGTCAAGGTCAGATGACACCTGCCAGCTAGACATGTACACCTTACAATCATTCCATACACCAAATATAGTAGACCTATTGCATACAGTATAAGAAAAACAGACCAAACCACAAAAACTTAACTATAACCACTGAACCATGAAAAAGAGGTCAAGGCCAGATGACACCTGCCAGTTGGACATGTACACCTTACAGTCCTTCCATACACCAAATATACTAGACCTATTGCTTATAGTATCTGAGATATGGACTTGACCACCAAAACTTAACCTTGTTCACTGATCCATGAAATGAGGTCGAGGTCAAGTGAAAACTGTCTGACGGGCATGAGGACCTTGCAAGGTACGCACATACCAAATATAGTTATCCTATTACTTATAATAAGAGAGAATTTAACATTACAAAAAATCTTAACTTTTTTTTCAAGTAGTCACTGAACCATGAAAATGAGGTCAAGGACATTGGACATGTGACTGACGGAAACTTCGTAACATGAGGCATCCAGATCTTCCACCTTCTAAAATATAAAGCTTTTAAGAAGTTAGCCAACGCTGCCGCCGCCGCTGGATCACACTATCACTATGTGGAGCTTTCTGCGACAAAAGTCGCAGGCTCGACAAAAATTAACTTATATCAATAATGGCGATTGTTGGTAAATGAAGGTGTATAAACAATACACTAGTTCGATGTGTGCCTTTTGTATTCAAATGATAACTATAACTATAATACCGATTCATAAAAGGTATATATATATCTACAAAATGACCAAGAATAAGCAAAGAATAAGCAAATTTGACTATTAATAGTAATTACAATATTTGAGATAAACGGTCAAGTTTGTCTATTCTGAATCAGATTTTTATGGCCCCCGCAACAAACATAGTTTTACCCTTATCCATCATTCTGCCATTCCGTCATTCTGTCATTTCGCAACAAACAGTTATACAGACTTTTTCTAAACATATTGAGCTGATTTTTAGTATGTGAGTCTGCTATGATGAGTTACAGATCAAGTTTATGTTTGGTTCCGCTCTGCTGATTTTTACCGAAATAACTTGCTTTGGACTTTGAAAACTTCATGAAAATAGCAGTTACAAGGACTTTTTTTTTCTAAACGCCTTCACATATTGAATTAATTTTTAGTATGTGAGTCTACTAAGATGAGTTACAGATTACGTTTACGTTTGGTTCCGCTCCGTTGATTTTTGCTGAAATTACGGGCTTTGAAATTCGAACTTTCCAAATACTAAATTTTCCCGAAAACACTATACATATACTTAACATTAATTCTATTTAGATCTTTGCAGGTACATATAAAATATTCAATACCAAATTTTTTGTCAAAGTATATATTTAAGCGAGTATTTGGCAATTGCATTCTAACTTTGTGTTGGACTTTCTAAATTTCTATAAACCAATTTTATATGTTTGCTTTTTATGAAACTTTCCAGACTTATCATTTTCATCCCCCTAAGCTTTCATCTAGACAACATACTTTTCTGTCATCAAGGCTGACTTTAAATAAAGCCCCAAACAAAATCCCAGAAATGTGAGTTTATTTCTTTTTCACACTCATTAGGTATACCCCTCATCTCAACCTCGTATCCTAAATAGGTATTAATTGGTTTTTGTCGAGTCTGCAACATTTATGTTGCAAAAGCGAGGCATAGCAATCCTTGAATACTCGTTTACTAAAACATTTTTTAATAATTGACTTTGAATGGCAATATGTGCCGATTGTCAATTGACTTATATGTAGATCTTATTTTGTTGAACATTGTTGCTTATTACAATTTACTCTATCTAATATTGCCACTTACCCCCTTGTTGTAAATCTATATCTATGCCTGGGAAAAAGCCTTAATTAGTACTTATTTTGAATGATTTAAAGTTTCATGAACACTAAATACACACAAAAAATATCTAAAATGTTTAAAGTCAGAACAGGAGACAACGTGGCTGATGATTAACTGAAATACACATGAGTAAAATCATGTCAGTAACTTATTTCTGTTCTTAAAAGGAATTTGACATTCTAATTGAAAGAAAGAATTTCATTTTAGTTTCAAAATTTCAGAATTTTGTCACAAGGGATCAAAACATTGATGATTGCTAGGCATTTTCCAACTATTTGAGAATAGCTACTTTTAAATCTTTGGTGAAGATATTGATCTCTCACCTTTCAATAGGATCTGTATAACAGTTCATATTAGTCTGAACCCAAATATGTATGGTTGCTAGGTACTTTTATATCAAGTAAGGGTCATTGCCAAGAACTTTTAACATGAGCTTGACCTCTTGCATTTTACCCTTGTTACCAAACAAAAGCAATAATCGTTACTGAACATTTTTTCTATTCAAGGTATGGCCATATTTGTAACCATTTCTGACAAAATCTTATAATAAAGAGCTGCGCCATGAGCGCATGATACGCCCATCACTTTTTCCAAGAATAAAGTTCTATAACTCCTCAATGTCATATCAGAAATTTATCATAAACTGTTAACACAGAGATACATTGTATGTCTCGCCTATTTGTTATTTTGATAATGCAAATGTTGAAATTAACATAGCAATACTTTAACATGTAAGTTATGCAAATATTCAAAGTCAATGAATCATGACTGAAGGTACAGTGTTAAACAATCTCCATGGAAATGAGATGTGCCAATGCTAATACAACTGCAAACCAAATACCATTGACTTTTCATAAGTCGTTCCCTTTAAACAAACCTCAACACAAACATTAACTTGTAAACTATGTAAAAGTTTCAAAGTCAATAAACCATAATTAGGGGGTGGGATTATATAATCTCCATGGAAATGAAACTTGCAAATGCCAATACATTTGCATACCGAATATCATTTACTTAACATCAGTTGTTCATCTTAAACTGACCTAATCACAAACTCATACATGTTAACTAAGCAAAAGTTTCAAAGTCAATAGACCATGACTGAGCGGTAAGGACCAAATATTCTCCATGGAAATGAGATGTGCTAATGCTTATACAACTGCATACCAATTATCATTGACCTACCACTTACAGTTCCCCTTAAACTGACCTAATCACAAACTAATACATGAAAACTAAGCAAAGTTTCAAAGTCAATAGACCTTGACTGAGGGGGCGGGGCCAAATAATCTCCATGGAAATGAGATATGCCAATGCTTATACAACTGCATACCAAATATGATTGACCTACCACTAGTAGTTCCCCATAAACTGACCTAATCACAAACTAATACATGTAAAATAAGCAAAGTTTCAAAGTCAATAGACCTTGACTGAGGGGGCCGGGCCAAATATTCTCCATGGTAATTAGATGTGCCAATGCTAATACAACTGCATACCAAATATCATTGACCTACCACTAGTGGTTCACCATGAACTAGACCTAATCACAAACTAATACATTGTTGACGCCGCCACTGTCGCCAACATACCTATGTCTTGCTTTTTGACTCCGTCAAGGCAAGACAAAAACTAATTAAAGGGAGGTTATTTTAATAGATATAAAACAGTCAGCAAAGTTTCATGAAAACTGCTCAATGCACTTTTGAGTTATTGACCGAAAACTGGAAAATCCCCCCTTTTTTAATTAGTAAAACCCCATAACTTGGAAACGTAAAATCTCAAATTTATAAAAACCATGGCAACGACAACATAAACATTTTTTTTGTCAATCTATTTCTTTTATGTTTGTCGATAGCTACCAACAAACAAAATTTCAAAAAAATCTGAGACTATGCGTGCTGCAACTTGGTTGGTGGTTACAGAGAATTGCTATTACTACTGAGGTCTTTGTTAACTCATATCAAGAACAGCACCCTACCACCCCTATCTGGTTATTTTATCTATAGCTTACAGCAGCTCCAATGAGAGCTGTATGTCCACTGTTGTCAGCAACATCAGGATGAACTTTGCCCCCTGTCAATAAGTCTTCAACTTTCTGTAGATCTCCTTTTGCAGCAGCTCCTAACAACTCTTCTGAAGCAGTTTCTAGTGGACCTTTTGAAACTTTGAACTTTGACCTCTCACCTTTAAGCACTTGATCTACTTTAAATGACACAGTGTTTTGACTTCCTTTATGTTTCAGAACATGTTTTTGTAAATTAATAACTGATGGTGTTCTATTCCAGGCTAGAACTTTTTCATTTTTGTCATTTTTCTCTTGTCCTAACTGCCTAAAATATTCTTTATCGAATTCCTCCCTATTAATTGCTAGACTACGAGGGTCTAGCGAATCAGAATAAAGATCTGTAACTCTTTCAGTGATTTGACTATCAGGTAAAAGTTCAAGTATATCTTCAGATCTAGCAGTGTCTGCATTATCTGTTAGCTCATCTGTATTCAAATACATTACATGTTCTTCTGGGTTAAAGTCTAATTCTTTATGATTGTCCATTGTAAAAGCATCTGAATTTGCAGTACATAATTTGACAAGTTTCTCTCCTTTCCATAGACCTACATCCTGTTTGCCATCGTGGTACGTCAAGACACCAGGTCCTTCTCTTTCATCTTCTTTATATAACCCCTAAAAATGGAAAGAAAATATAAATACATTCAGAATATAGTTCGACTTATTTATAAAATCTAATTTATAAAATGTTTGTTTGTTGGTGATAATTGCTATTTTCCGTGTCCTTGGAGGAGGAAGCATAGTACCATGAGAGAATCAACAATATATCAATGGTTAGTTTAAAAATAAAATAAGATTATTTGATACTAATTAACTGATACTGAAAACATACTGACACTGCACTTATTGTTATTCATTCTAATCTGTTTCAGCACCATGATGGGTAGTCCTTGGCAGCTAATGTCACTAGTGGAACAGGAACTGCTGACCAGTCTACACCACCTGAGGTCAGTATTTGGTGGGTTTGTATTGCTCAATATTTAGTTTTCTGTGAACTTTTTTCAGAGGGTTTTTCCTCTCTTGGCAATGTTGGTTTTTCCTGAACATATTTCTTAAACTGCTATCTCAGTATCTATTCCTTTTTTGTTTTATAAATACGCATTCATAGCTAGCACAAAAGAAAAATAAAATCAAATACCATACTGTACCTCAAATTTATTGCCATTGGCAAATTTAAACACTCCATATCCTTCCTTTCTGTCCATATAAAACGTGCCAGTATAAGTGGATCCATCAGGCCAATTATATACTCCTTTACCATGTCTTCTGTCTTTATAAAATGGTCCTTTGTATGACTGCAATGGTTGAATTAAAACATTGAATGATTTCCTAACCAAATATGTTAACAACAAAATGATGTGATGAAGGTTTTTTACTAGTAGCTGAAATTTTGCAGTATTATGATTACTTGTGAAAAAAGAGTTTTAAGGACTGTACCACTCACAAAAGCTACTCCTGGATTCTAAACTGGCATTACTTTTTTTGTTAAATTACAGTTGACTAGAGTATGTAGAGAACAAGAGAATGGCTGAATTTTAAATTACTATTCTTTTACTTTCGGCATTAAGAACATGAATCAAAGAAAATGAGACAGCAACCAATGAACAAAAAAGCTAGTAAAACTAGCTTTTTTGTTCTTTGGTCATTAATATTCAAACATGACCCAAGGCCTTGTCAAAACAGATATATGTATTGTGTTTCTTATATACACAAACAATTTGATGTTGGTAAAATACTGGTATCTTTTAAGTAAGGCCTGGTTCATATTCATTTCTGCCAAAATATATGTGTATTAAACGGCTCTTTTTTTGGTCACACATGTAAATTTCAACATTCTTATGCAATTCATTTAGAATGAAAATTATCATTGGATGTTTACAAATAGTTTGAAGGGTTATAATTAGATTCCATACACTTCCACTCAGTCTACCAGTCCATAACTAAGGAAAGCCACCATTTTTAATTCCGAACTTATTTGGTATGTTATTTCTCCAAAATAAACAACAAAGTCACATTTTGTGCCTCAGAGTCTTCTTTTTGTCAATATTTAAACCATTCAGAAGCATATGAAAAGTATAAATACATCTATAGTGTTTATGTTTGACATCTGGAGTATACCTATGATGTCACATTGTTTAGATGCCAAAGACGATGTAACAGTTTTGCAGACTTTTTCAATTATGGGACTTTTAAGCCAAAAACTTGATTTTTACTGTCACAAATATCCTTGTACCTAGCTCCGCTACGCATCGCTAGATAAACTCAATTTGCCACAGTAAAATAAACGTTTTATGAAGGCCAAGCTTAAAATACAAAACAGTTATCTCCTAATTTTTATGAAGTCACAGAGGCATCACAATTAACTTCCTGTACTTAAAAGTAGAGATCATAATTATCTTTCTTTTAATTTTAACCAATATCAATAGAACTTAAAAACCTGTAATTTTAAATGGATTAAAGAACTGAACTACTTCTGCAATTTTCTGGGGCCAAATAACGACTCTTGTCATACATAATCTTTACAAATTTTGATAAAAAATTGGGTAAATATTTACATGGCAAGCCATATAAAACCAATGTACAAATGTCTCTTATTATTTGGTATTTTGTTTTGTGATTTAGTATAGAAAAGGTCATCATGACAGTAAATCAATGTACTTTAGACACAAGTTTCCACTGTAAGGTCTTAAAAAGTCAAGGAATTATCATTGAAGTTTTGTTCACGGAAAACAGGCTTTTAAAATTTTATAAAGGGTAATTGCACACATTAAAACAAAACTGTGGAAAATAATTAAATTTCTTTCTTTTTTTCTATTTGAATTATTCTGTAAATGTATTTGATCAATAAACAGATAGAAGTTTTTATCAAAACTTCAATAAATCTTGCTATGCACAGTATATGAAAGTTATTGGTGTGTATCCAAAGGGTGTCAACAAATGTTTTCAGTCATTTAAAAATGTTAACAAAAGTGTTATGTATAAACAAATACTTTTATCAAGATTCATCTCAAATATCTTCTGTACAAACTGATTTCCCTCTCAGGCATATATATTTCTTTTTAAGACAAACTTTGAATAATGAAAGAGTGATATCATTTTGTTTAATTCTTATTTACTATTTTGACTTTCATTCAATATCTTATTTTCTATATAACATGTTCTAGTTTTAAAGTAATAAAATAGAACGCTACTTAAAGTACTTTAAAACAAATTCAAAGTTGAGTTTACAATGTTTTATGCCAAAAAAATTTAAACCAATGACCCATGAAATACTTAATTCTTAAAAGGTTACTGTTTGAATTTCTATCATAACTAAAATCTAATCTGCTTGATTTAATCGTAAAATGACGATTGTTTTGACAAAAGTGCTACATATAAGTTTAATATACATCTGCCAAAGAGATGTCTGAGTACCTAAATCAGGAGCAGACAAAGATCAAATTACTCTTCAACAAAGCTGTACAGACATTTACAATGTTGAAACACAAATGACATATATATACACCATTACAAACATGGTTCTGATCTATATATTAAAGGTTAAATCATTACATCTGCATTACTAATGCCGTAGTTTAAAGATTTATTAATTATTTTAAATCTGATCCTAGATTATAATCACTGTTGACTATAGAGATTAAAATATTCTGTACATTATTGTATAATGGTATATGGCAAATATTGCAAAATTAAGATCTATGGTTCATATCAAAGATGATAAAATATAAAGAGTAATAAGGCTTTTGCCATGTGAAATATTGTCTGATTCTTAAATGAAGTCTGCAAATTGAGGGAGTTTATGATTTGCCTCATAGAATCAATAACTATGTTAAAACCCATATTCCTTAACGAAACAAATTTTTTTTAGGGAAAAGTCTATGTGTATGGACTACACATTTCACACAATGGTTGTGTATTATACCGTAAACATATTTCTAGACTGATGCAAGGTTTACAATAACTGTAAAATAGCCAACGCTCCACAGACTTATATTAAGTGTGTACAGTAGACAAACGCATGATTTTAACTACATGTAGAGTAAAGACAATTTCTGGAGACTAATGTGTAGTGTGCACAAATTTTGGTACAGATGGCAGGCTGGGGTTTAGAAACACCCCATTCATATATTGATTCATGCTAAAAACCCTACCCATTCATATATTTTATAGGAAAATCACAACCCATTTATATATATTTTCCAGCTATTATGATATCTTATTAAGACATTAACCACATGGGATCATTTATATTATTGTTAAAAAAAATTACAACATAGTTTTTAGATACTTCTTGACAGAAGAGGAACATTTATGACCCATTGATAAATAATCTCTGTAAATTGATATATTGGACATTACAAAAAGTTACCCATACCAGCGGCATGTCTGTGTACACCTTTATATAGGAAGAGACCCCTGTGAGCGTGCACTACAGGTTACCACAGACTAGAAATGACTAGTGCAATCACATACATGTAATAATGTACAGACTAACCTCATTATTGGATCAATGACTAGTGCAGTAATACATGTACATGTAATAGTGTACAGATCTAGACTTACCTCATTATTAGATCAATGACTAGTGCAGAGCAATAGACACATACATGTGATAATGTACAGACCTCATTATTGGACCAATGACTAGTGCAGAGCAATAGACATGTGATAATGTACAAACCTCATTATTGGACCAATGACTAGTGCAGAGCAATAGACACATACATGTGATACTGTACAAACCTCATTATTGGACCAACGACTAGTGCAGAGCAATAGACACATACATGTAATATGTACAGACCTCATTATTGGACTAATGACTAGTGCAGAGCAATAGACACATACATGTGATAATGTACAAACCTCATTATTGGACCAACGACTAGTGCAGAGCAATATACACATACATGTGATAATGTACAAACCTCATTATTGGACTAATGACTAGTGCAGAGCAATAGACACATACATGTGATAATATACAAACCTCATTATTGGACCAGTGACTAGTGCAGAGCAATAGACATGTGATAATGTACAAACCTCATTATTGGACCAATGACTAGTGCAGAGCAATATACACATACATGTGATAATGTACAAACCTCATTATTGGACCAACGACTAGTGCAGAGCAATAGACACATACATGTGATATGTACAAACCTCATTATTGGACCAATGACTAGTGCAGAGCAATAGACACATACATGTGATAAGGTACAAACCTCATTATTGGACCATTTGACTTCTCCTTCTCCATGTCGTTTATCATTGACAAAATCCCCATCATACTGGCTACCATCCTGCCATACTTGTAGTCCTATCAAATTATATTTTCTCTGATTAATCAAAATTATCTATAATGTAATTATTGTAATAAAGGGATGTCTGCAAAGTTTGATTGACAGTACATTACTTTAAAGGATCATTAACCAATGTCAGATGACTTCATATTTACCAAATGTTATCATGGGAAAATTAAAAAAAAATTGTTATTCTGGAATGGAAAATTTTGGCATTCTCAAAAGAAAATAGAAGACAAATAGTTGTATTGTGTGAGAGTTTTTACTGCAGGTGAAATTTTAAAGGTGACATGCACCACATCAATAATCCAACCTGTATCATTTGTTCAAAACCCAACAGAAGCGATAACACACGGCATTATACTTTAAGAACAGTTCTAGTAATCAGTATGTAGTTCATATTTAACTTTCTCTTAATCAAAATTTCTTGAATTGACCATGATTTTTATTTTACACTTTTAGTTGATATAGACAGGTGTAGCAATTCAAAGTAAAATATTTCTTGTTTTTAATCTTAAAAAAGATATGATCTTTTGTAAAAAATAGTTCTATGGTCTTTTGGGGTATAAATATAATCAAAAACCAATTAACTGCCGAAAGTAACAAATATCAAATACCAAAAGCATTAACCAGTTAATCAGACCTTATTCAATTTTCATATATATAGTTTTAATATTAACGTATTTCGATAAATACATTAGAATGTACTAATAAAAGTCTAATATTCTAACATGATCATCCATTATTGACTAAATTATCAATTTCATTCCAATTTTACCTAAACTAATTAGAACAAAGACCAGTTTGTCTAGTACCAGCTTGGGACAAAATCTTAAGTAAACATAATTTGTAAAAGGTGTAAAAAAAAACATACATTATACAGTTGTAAGCTGATCAAAATTTAAGATTAAGTTCATTTCATTTTTATTTACATGTAGTATTGACTTGAGTGAATGTGAATGTAAAAATATGCCACATACAGTGGAAATCATTTAATGCATGTTTGGGATGAGAACAAATAAACATTTAATTCAATAGGCCAGTCCTGCTATAGGGGTCGACCGACATGGAGGGTCTGACATTTGGAATGCTACTGAAAAATGAGAGTATACTTGATAGGGACAGAAATTAAGCCTGCAAAAGGCCACTAATTATATAATGAACCCCTGAAAGAGCTGTTGCAAGGGTAATAAATGTGTGAAGAGCATGACACTTTTTCTACTTGTGGCATCAGATTTAATGTCCCCATTCTGACCACATGTGGCTGCGAATTCATACATCCCACACAGCCAAAAGGACACCCCACTTTTACAAGTGTTCTACATTTACTGCAGGTCAAAAGAAGACCAAAAGAGACCATATTTCCTTACTGACCAGTCACCATTAGAATATATTTCCTATGACTATGAACTTTCATATCGGTTAACCAGTTAATTGGTCAAGAGATTATCCGACCAACAGGTTAGGTAAAAATGTTCAATTAGCCAACACTAATATCAACACAAGAATTGACGACATCCTGAAAATACAAGAAAAATAACTTCCACTCTTGTTCAAACTTCACATTTTTATATTGAGGTGATATTTCAGTTGATGTTCACATCAAAATGGCTGCTGAAGACTAAAATTAACTTACAAATGTGCTAGAATCGCTTAATTCCTATAGTAAAAAATGACAGTAATATTATGCATGTTTTTTTCTTTACTAGTAATATGAAAAATGGAGATGTGGGGTTCACGTCAATGCGACAGCAACTCGAGGACACAAATAGCCAACAAACATATAATTGAGGTCAACATATATTATACAGCCTTCAAAATTAGACACTCACAGTTGTCTTCAATCTTCAATAACTTGTTTAAGATGTACTACTAACCATATTTATAGTATTTATACATGTACATGTACTTCTCATCCTCCCCCTTCATTTCAAATAAACATACCTTTTCCATTTCTGAGATTGTCCTGGTACTCTCCTTCATACTGGGCCCCATTAGGCCATGTAAACTTCCCAGAACCTTCACGTCTATGGTCACATACGGTTCCTTTAAAAATAGCTCCACTTTTATACTGAACACTTATCTCATCTGGATCAAATTCCTCAAACTTGGCATGTTGTAACTTTGGTAATGGACCACTTGACACGGACATGGCTAGAAAGAACAAAAGACAATAGAAAGGGGCAGGTAACCTTCATCATTCAATTTGAATATAATGGTATATATACATGTATATATGAGGAATATTTGTATAAACATTTATTTGTATTTTTAGTGTTCTCAACGGTTATTACAGGTTATCCATTGGAAAAAAACCTGAAAAGTACAAGTTAAAATCATCATTCTTGAACTTGATCTCCATTTTGTCATCAGTTACAACATATTATAATTTGAAAACCATTGGTAGAAGGGTTCATAAGTTATTGAAATGAAATGATATAAATTGCCATTTTCCAATATATCAAGGACCATAACTCCTGAAGGTACCAATGTAAGAGTGAAAATGGTCAATATGGAACAACATGACATTCATTTTGTCATAAGTATTAACATATGAAGATTTGAAAAGCATTGGTTGAACAGTTCATAAGTTATTGCACAGTCAGAAACTGTTCACAGTCTCCCTTCCCCCATACTTCACCAATTCAATAACTCTTGTTTTCTAGTTAGATTGTACATCTGTTTTTGTACCAAACAGATGGGTCATTGTAGTACATTCTAGAGATGTTGAGTATTTGGTCAAATCATATCACACAGATTAACGGTTTTACCAAAAGATTTTGTCATCACAGTTTTAACCAGTATGGCAAATTCAGTTCATGAAGGGATCAAAGGGGGAGGGTAGATGATGTGTGAACGATATTTTCAAGCTTAATATGTGAACTGTACACTACTCTACACTGCCCCTTGGTCCAAACAAAGACCTCTTTCTTGTTGGAGTTGACCTGGCAGAAATGATTTTTTGATTAATTATAAATTGAACACAAAACTACTCACCAAAGTTTTCAAATGATCTTTGTTTGTTTATTTCTATTGACAGTAATGACAAATCCTAAGAAATACAATCACAGGTCATTCTGGGTTAAAATATCTGAAAGCAGGAGATTCTTTAACCCACTCGAGAGAGGTCTGGCAGATTTCCCGAATTTCTCCATTAATGCGGGAGACTCCCGCTCAAAACAGGAGGGTTAGCAAGTATGCCTTAAGCTCACATAATTATCTGAGAAAAATCCTCTTTTTTAAAAAAATTTAAAATTCATTTTATGATTTCAAGCATAAAATCAAAAAGTACATGTAGGACCAGCAAGAGTTTGCATCCTGCAATGTCCTGTCACACCTACAGTCACCTTCATGTAAAATTGGCACCAGGCTTTTGATGAAATATTTTCAAACTATCAATCATGTTCATTTGAGATGATGTTTTTCACTTAGAGGAACCTAAAATGTTCGCAAAAAACAACTACTATCCTACCTTTTATCATGTTTATTGTGATTGCAGTTTATAATCCTAACCTTCACTACGGAAGCAAGACAACTTGCCCCACTGCCAAATCGCCCCACACCAACTCGCCCCATTTTAAAAAAATCTGCCCACAAGGGTACAATCCCAATAATATATAATAAAGGTCTGCCAACTCGCCCCACTTGTGAAAACTTATCTACACAGAATAAAACAAATCACTTGTGATACTAATAAAAATCGAAAATTGAATATATATATGATTATGTCTTTATGATTGAAATTAAATGATGCTTCATTTCTTAAAATGAAATTGTATATATACAGTATTTATTATTATGTAATTTTAGTATTTATTGGAGAAAAACTTTATTATTATTTTAAGAACTCATGATTCTTTACTTATCTAGTAAAACAGTGATTACATTTACCAGAAAGCAAACGTCATAAACAGTTACAATAGTCAATAACATCATACGTCACAGAAATGCTGATACTTACTTCTTTCTGCTCTATTTGAACCAAAAGAAGAGTTAAAAAAACAAGATGCATTTCTAAGATTTTCATCAGTATTCATTTAATTCATAAGTGGGGCGAGTTAGTAGACCTTAATTCAGTACAGTTTAATTCTTTTATTCATTAGTTGAGCAAGTTGGCAGACTTTTATTCAATGGGATTAACATGATTAAACTCCAGCGAGTAAGTAAGATGTTATTCTTTTTTTCATAAGCATGATAAGTGGAGAGAGTTGTCAGACCTATATTCAACGAGATTTTACCCTTTTTCATAAGTGGGGCGAGTTGGCAGGATAAATTCATTGGGATTTTACCATTTTTCATAAGTGGGGCGAGTTGGCAGACCTTTAGTCGGCGGGATTTTAACCTTTTTAATCAGTGGGGCGAGTTGGCAGACCTATATTCAATGGTAAACAAGAGTGGGCGTTTTTTTTTAGAAAACGGGGCAAGTTGGTGAAAAAGTGGGGTGATTTGGTGTGGGGCGATTTGGCAGTGGGGCGAGTCATGGATTCCTTCGCTACATGTATGTGGAAAACTTCACCTTGAATGCGCTAATGATAGTATAAAAATATTTGATTGAAAACCTGGTACCTATTTTACTTGATAGAGACTATACACATTATCACTATTTATCCGCCATTTCTGGGTTTCACAGAAGTTCTCGTAAAATTTTGATGTCACAATAGCATGATCGAATAGAAAATGTTTAATGCCACAATGATTGCTGTATGACGTCAATAGTTCAAGTGTCGCAAATTCTCATGTCAGGTGGCTTAGATTCACAAATAGCGATAAGGTCTGTTCATGTTTATCAGACAGAAAAAAGTAAAGTTTCATGAACTCCGACTCTGTAACAAAATAACTGTTATACAATGTTTATGTTGACAAGGGCATTCAAAAGGTTTAAAAGAAACGGTGTGATATGGAAAATTGGTGGCGTATTGTTGGAGGCTTACCGACCATCTTGCAACCTTGGAATTGTACTTTTGAATGTAAACAGATAAAACAGTTGAGAATTTTTTCCTGTTTTGATGCAAATAGTTTAAATTGCATTCACTTTCTAATACTTTCTCATACCTGAATTTGAAAAAAAGCTACTATGTCGATTTTCCGTAGATTTTAAACTCAACTGCTATTACATTTAACTCATGTTTACCGCCTAAAAGCAAACTGTGAACTTCTAGGCAAACAATCCGCCATTTTTAATCAACCTCGCACTGACCGGAAGTTGTTGTTGCCATGCAAAATAGGTTCTTTCGGTACAAATTAATTTTGGGCCTATAAATATATCGCCTCATAGACTTTTTTGAAGGGTGATGATCCAATATGAAAATTAATATTCTTATTTGAGGAATCACCCTATAGTGAAGTATGATTTAAAATAATTTCCTTCTTAGTCCAGAGACATAGTTAACATATATTTCTCTGTTGGTACTGTCTTTCATAAGTCGAGACGTGAAAAATACTTTGAGTTATCTCTCTTACAGCACGGAAAATACTATGACTAAAGAATGTCCATCTTTTTCTAACTTGTTTTGTCTTAACATATTAATAATTTGTTATGCTATGATAATCATTATGAAATTGTTATATTTTGACTATATTTATATGCCCCTTGAGAGTCTATGATTGGTTAGTAAAATCTTGAATCTTGAATCATAGTTTGAATTTACTTTTAAGTAAAGGTTAATTTAAACTACTTTGAACAGTGAATAGTACATACACTAGAATAAGATTTACTGAAAATGTTGATACATGCTTGATATAAATACTTCTAAAATTCAAGACTGGGCATGTTATATGAAATCCATTATGGTTGAGGATAGGCAAGTTCAAATTTGTTATTATAGTATTGGTTAATGGGGTGTTTCCATAATGGCCCTAGGGCTGTTATATGTCCAAGGCCTGTTATAATAGTTGAGGATGCCTGTAATGGCACGAGACAACGCCGAGGGACATTACAGCCTCCGAGGCCATTATTACTGACCGAGGACAAATAGCAGGGTCAATTTGAAAACACCCATTTCTTAATACTTTTATTAACCAAACCGTCAATGTGTGGGAAATTAGAAACTGACCCAATAAATAAAGCAAATATTCTAAATGATCAATTTCAATCAGTCTTCTCTGCTGCATGTCCAATCAGTAAACGAGATTTTGAAAAGAAAAAACTCATGTCAGATCTACCAGAAAATTATCCAGACAGCGAACAAATAATCATCACAATTAATGGAGTGGAAAAACAGCTGAAAAATCTAAAACCACACAAGGCTGCTGGACCAGACAACATCAAGCCAATGATTCTGAAAGAACTAGCCAGTGAAATTGCTCCAATCTTAACCATCATATACAATTTTTCAATGGAGGAAGGAAAGATACCCGATGACTGGCGAACTGCAAATGTCACTCCGGCATATAAGAAAGGCCAGAAATACATAGCAGCTAACTATAGGCCAATATCCCTAACATGTATTTGCTGCAAAATAATAGAACACATAGTCACCAGTAACATCATGAAACATGCAGAGGTAAATAACATACTATACCCATTACAACACGGCTTCAGAAGTAAAAGATCATGCGAAACACAACTCCTTGAATGTATCGATGACATCACAAAAAACCTGGAAAACGGAAAACAATCAGATCTGCTAATACTTGACTTTTCAAAAGCTTTTGATAAGGTGTCCCACAGCTTACTCCTCCATAAATTACACCATTATGGCATCCGAAGTAAAACAAACAAATGGATAAAGGAATTTCTCACCAATAGAACCCAGGTAGTAGTTGTTGAAGGCGAAACATCTGACAAAGTAAAAGTAGAATCCGGAGTACCGCAAGGATCAGTATTAGGACCCAGTCTTTTTCTGTTCTACATCAACGACCTACCAGAAGGCTTACACTCCACAGTGAGACTGTTTGCGGACGATACTGTGGTCTATTTGACAATTTCATCAGACAGCGACTGCCATAAACTCCAAGAAGACCTGGACAAACTGGCAAAATGGGAAGAACTCTGGAAAATGGAGTTCCATCCTGAAAAATGTAGTGTCCTCACTGTTACAAAAAAGAAAAAGCCAACCAAGTGGGACTATAAACTCCACGGCCATACTCTGGTGCATGAAACATCAACTAAATACCTAGGCTGCACCATCGCAAATGATCTAGATTGGGGAGAACATATAAACAACATCACAGGAAAAGCCAGCCGAAGCCTTGGTTTCCTACATCGAAACCTCCACATTAGCTCAAAATCCATCAAAGAGCATGCCTATAAAATATTAGTAAGACCGCAAATGGAATACGCCACGACAGTATGGGACCCGTACCAGCAAAACCACATAGATAAAATTGAAAAGGTACAAAGAAGAGCTGCACGATATGTAACCAGCAGACATAGAAATAGATCAAGTGTCAGCAACATGATAAATGAATTAGGATGGAAAAGCTTACAAACAAGACGAAAAGAAGCACGACTCATCATGTGTTACAAAATAACAAACGACCTTGTAGCCATAGACAAGAATAAATATCTACAAAAACCAACAAGAAGCTCAAACCGGACAGGACAACATACTTACCTATTACAGCCAGCCACCAAAGACTGTAGGAAATGGTCCTTCTTCATAAACACCGTCAAGGATTGGAACAAACTGCCACCAGATACCGCCACAGCAAAGTCTCTTGAGATATTCAAGTCTCAAGTCACCAAAACCACAAACTAAATCAACACAACAATTTGTTTTTATCCTGTTTTTAACCTGTTTTTAATCATGCGCAACTTGCCAGAATATTCATCATGTTGAATGTGGGCAGTATATGGAAGAAGAAGAAGTATTATTTAACCAAGCCCAATCAGTTTTTTTGTGGAGAAATTGTATATATATATATATATATATCATACCAAATGCAATATTAAAAAGAAACTTTTGAAGTGATGTTATGGAATAACATGTAAATGTAAATATAGTTTTATTGTCCTATTCAAAGCAATTTATGGCATACAAAATACAAGACTTCGTTCTGGATTTTAAAACTCAAAATTAAATAAATTGAAACACATCAAGGAATGTATTAAATTATTATTAACTTGACAACTGGGTCAAATAAGATAAGTCAAGATTCTTGTGAACTTTCAATTTCTTGATGTTTCTTTTCCCCAGATTGAATGTATTTGAATTGATAACAACTGAATAGGTAATTAATGGCCCTGATTATTCATAATGGCCCTGCTTTTTCAGAATGGCCCTGTTTTTTTTATAATGGTCCTGTTTATTCATAATGGTCCTGTATTAATGCCCTGTTATTCAGTTTTGCTTTTATCCATAAAGGGACAGTTTCATACATAATGCACTAAACTGGTTAATGATCACGAATTGAATGCTTCTTCTTTTATTTGGGTGTAATCTAAGAGTTGACCGAAGTACAATTTGTATGAAGCGCGGAAGCTTTTCATACTTAATCATGATGTTGTGCGCACGTTCAACGCTTTTACAACCCTATAAAAATACAAAAAGAAGAATTCAATTCTTCTTATTACATTTTCATGTTACAACCATGAAATTACGAGTTATATCAAGTCTTTTTGTTTTTTCTGTGCATTGTTTTACGATTGTCACGGGTAGCACGTGCAGTCAATGATGTTGTACTTTATACGGAAAATAAATATAACTTTAGGAATGCCTCGGCCAATCAAAATTACAGAATCGTATGAAACTTTCTTGTCATTGTGTAATTATATATAAATATTGCTTTTTCATTAACGTATTTCTTCTTCGATCCGTTATTTCTAATGTATTGATGAAAAGCAAATCTATTCAGAAAGAGAGACAACGGCGGATCTAGAGACAGCCTTGCTCTGAGTGCTCAAAAGCAAAACAAAAAAGACGTTATAGAAAGGTTGTCGGTAAACAGTAGATGGAATTCAAAACAAACCCCAGCTGGATTCTAGAATATAGAGTATAGAATAGGCCACAGTTTCATCTGTTCGTGAGCGGTAGTACTCTTCCACAAGGGTCGTTTGGCTAATTGAGAGGTATAAATACGCATGTACAACCACGCCGGGTCAATTTTGGGACTGTAAATCTGATGCCTTACGTAGGGAAAATGTCTCGCTCTCTGCAATTTAAAGTACCCTGTGTTAACAACTCTCTCTTATGTTCGTAGTTGGCACACTGCAACGTGATATATGTGCCAAATCTAACATGTCAACATTTCCTGTGCCAGTCCAAATTTCTCGACGTTCATCCTTGTCCTCAAATTTGCAGTTCTGTCTATTAAAAATTGTAATTTGTTAACTAAATAATCATGAAATTTTTGCCACTGGGCGTGAAGTAAAACTACAGTAGAGCAATTAATCAAGATCTCATCTGAGAATCACAACTTATATATGTATATGTCCTATATAAACATGTAAATGATCAAAGATATAGGATTGTAAAATGAAAAACGAAACATTATTGTTATGTAGTTTAATATTCTAAATAAATCATAATTATCTCGAACTCACGGTTTGGCAAAAGAATCCGCCTTGCAAAGTATGTAGTGCATACAGTTTCAAGCCTGTGTGAAAGGATTTGGAAACAATGATTGTAAATGCGACATCGCGCATAACATACTTTATATAGATAAATTTTTGTAATTTTGAAATAAGTAGATGTGGCATGATTTGCCAATGAAACACCTCTCCACCAGAGACCAAAGTGCGAGAAGGGTTGGTACCATGTGTCTTTCCATAAAAAGCAATATGACAGACAGTAAACAAACAACTAATGAAATGCATGCTCCTGATCTGGGACAGACACGTAAAGAATGTAGTTCAAAACATGTCTGTGGACGCTCAACCCTCCCCATTAACATGGGACAGTGGAGTTACAGCACACTATAAAAAATATAAGAGAAAAGACTTAACTCATCATGTCAGCACTAAGCACACAAAAATAACTCCTCACAAAAATAAAAACCAACAGCACATGCATGGTAACGATCTCAGGGTACCGACAGTTACTGAAAGCTAGTTACAAGCCAATTCCAACTAATACATGATAGATCAAGTTTTCCAGACTAAAAAATCAACCAGTTCACATCCAATGGATTAATTTAAAGACGTACATTACAAACAGTCTGAGAAAAGACATGATCTTGAACAACACCAAAATTTTAGTATCTACAGGATGTAGGTCAAATAGCGGTCATAACTGTTAATCCATGTTTTAGTG